GCTGCTCTTGTCTCTGAATTAGCAACTGAAATTGATCGGAAGTTAAAGCCATTTTTTTACCCCGTCGTCAGTTGTTATATCGTATGGGCCCGTAATTTATATGAACGCCAATTTAGAGAGGAGTGGATTTATTGATCGGACGCAAATGATACAGAAAATACGTACGAGCAGTCTTGATTGCTATTCGGTCCTTCCTAACTGCCTAGCCCAGCCAGTTGAGTCCAGAACACAAATAACAGCCTCGGAAATATGAATCATTATTTACAAGCATACTGGGTTTTTATACAAACCAAAGTAATCAATAAACTGATTATAACTCAAGAATCGTATGATCATAAATCAAAGATCAAAATAATAGAAAACACGAATATGAATAATTTAGTTACGTAACAACTGTACAATAAGAAATAGTCATAATACATTGGTCGATAAAAAGTCCTTAGAGTTACCATTCATAATTCACCAGGGGATATAACAGTTATGTATTTGATCTAAACCATCTACTCATATCTTCGATTTTTTGATAGAAGCTCTTAGTAATCAGTCATACGTAACGTAACTAGTGCATCAGTTAAAACTGCCACATCTTGTCAGCATAGAATAATAGATGTAACCGTATCAGTAGTATTAAAAATGATTAGGCATAACAAATATAATCCAAGGAAGAACTGTTAGTTCGTGGAAAAAAGGTACAAACTATAGGTCTTCAATAGTCGAAAGATCCAGTTTGTTTACAGATTTGATGTAACCAAAAGCATTTTTTCCCGTTTCCAGGATGCAACAGTAATGGAATAATACTGAGACTCGATACATTAGATAAAAGTTCTCCACATTAAGTAGAGATATATGATTTACGACCAGTAATTGAGAACCACATAACAGACCGATTAACCCATATGTACAGACTGTGAATCTTCCCATTGACGTTTAGGACTAGACTTGACCGGTATTTGTGCGAACTGCCTCGATATTGCAGGCACATCTAGCTGAGGAGCTCCAAATAGGACGAAAGGCGCTTCCCGAACCCCACTGCTTCATACTGTCCATCTCTACTTAACAACGCTTGTTATTTATTGGGAATATCGGAGTAATCCTCAGAAGGGTAAATACATACCAAAAGAAACTGATCAATTACAATCCTAAACATCAATGAGAAGACTGAAACAACGAATACAAATAAACTAAGCTATTTGGACTCAGCAGCTAAGTGGATAATGGGATAACGTTTGAAGCGAATGTTACTGGGTCTGAATTCCGGAATGAATCTAAACAGGACGAAATGCGAATCCTGGGTTACACTGTTAACCTAAATCTATCTCTGCTTATAGATCGTACGAAAGATTGTGTGACACTAATACTGGCAGTTCACACTGACTGGAATTTACAGGGGAATCAGTCATAAAAGAATTTCAAATAATATAGTGTCACAACATTTAACAAGGCTGTATCTAACTGTCTTCCCTCACCAGTCAATCACATCTTAAGTTAAATGGTCACACAACGAGATTACTTCAAATACGAATCTCAGAATATTATTTTACTTAAGAGGTATATTTTATGAAACTTTAAAAAACTGGCCATTTACCAACTTTAGAATCTAAATTAAAACAGCACTGTTGTCAGTGGATTCCGAAGTCATGAGATTGAAAGCTATTAGATCAACTTAACTAAGCTTAGAGATTTCTATAAACAATTAGGATAGATTATTAGAGGCCGAACCTTCACTATGTATGATTCCACTGACTTTTTAGGATATCCCATCTGTATTAAATACTTGATTTAAGTTGTCTAATTAACTTTGTATCCAGAGATCTAGTATAAAATCACTTCCAGATGCAATAACGTAGGTGCTACACCATAAAAACATTAGTGAGTTACGTTATTTACCACTAAATTTCAACCTAATGTCATACATGACTTTCATATTGTCCTTATTAAAATAAGTGAATCAACTAAGCTGAGGATTTTATTTTACACTGGGCAGCCAGTGATAGTTAGGAGAACGTACTTGGAGTTTTTCGATACTCAGTAGCGAGCCGCTTTTTGTTCTTTATACTAAAAGAAATATTCTGTTGGAGAGAAGAGTCGGATAATTCCTTCTGTGCATCCATAGGTTTGGAGGTGTTCATATGAGATGTACTAATAAGTTCGATAATATTTCTTTTTTTACGTAACACTTCAACTGATAGCTGACGAGGTAGTTTCAGAGTGAGTTTTTCTGTGTGGAGTCTTAGGTTGAAACAGCTGTTTACTTCTGCATAGTTTTAATGAAACATAATCAGAAGTGAGGAATGCGTTCTTCAGATTAGAATAAACTCTACAACACTTGATTTGAACAACTTATATATGTATGATTGTGAAAAAAATAAAGCACAATGTTGCGTCACCTACATGTTTTGTGCGTATTACTTTTACATTAAAATGAAAAAAATTCGGAAGCATTTATGATCACCTTACGTTAATACTTCGAGATATTATTGAGGAATACTAACTAACTGAAACTTTAACAATAGCCGATCAAATTCACTGTTGACAGGACATGGAGTTAACCGATTGTGGGTAAATTTTATTTCAACAGGACAGTAAAATACGTGTTTGAGATATATTGTCCGACGAATAAATGATTCTCAATGTCTATGGAAATAGACTGAAGAAAAGAAATCGCAAATTACAATTGATTGGTCACTGAATATTGAATAACGTTGTTCTGTATAATCCCTTCAGTGGTGATTGAATTATACGATGACGTTAAAATGTTAAAACACGTTAAGTGATCTGACAGAACATACATCATGCCGAGGCATATAGTGGTTGACGTGACTCAGGATTTAGATTTCATGCTAATTGGTACGATTCCGGATAGTGTACCTGTAATCTTGAAATAACTGATGTACCCTGTGGGATTAAATCACACGTCAATTAGCTTTACAGTCATGGACATTACCACTAAGCTATTTGTTCCGCGACTGACCTGTAAGACAAATATTTACAATTTACTGATTTCTGAATAGTGGATAACGTCATGTTTGTTTGGTCGTTTTCCGATGATCAGAAAAGTATTTTAGTTTTATTGAAAAGGATCCATAAAGAATATGCAGTGTTACAATCCCTTGTAATGTTTTCATCAATGCAAAAAATTTTGGTCTCATTAACTGGGAATGACAGACATTATATATGTATATGTAGTAAATGGGATACTAATGAACAACTAAATTATTTACTTTGACTTAAGGAACGTTAGAATATGAATTAAATGTTTTGTTTAACGTTTGTATATATCCGTGTGTAACCTGTGGCAGAACTAAAACAAAAATCTACTGAATTTTGGTAAAAATAATAGTGTTTAAAATAAATTTCGCTAAAAGCATTAATTCCAGAACGTTGATTACATCTATGATCTCATGGGAGAATCAGTGATGTAGTTAAATAGCGTGAAAGTAGTTCAATAGGGTATGAGGGTTGATGATTTTTGACCCTCGTGATCATTTCATTACTTTACTAGTTCATTTTAACTAGCTCGTATATGTAAAAAAAATATTCCTTGAAAGAATCTCTAACCAACTTCCCGCATGGAACGTTGGAATTATTTAGACTTCAAATACAATTTTTAAATATATTGTCTTCACTATATTTGGTGCCCAAATTCTATAGAACTATTCATTCAATTTATTTGCAATTGTTATATTGTTTGTTAAATGTGACAAGACGAAGTGATACAATTTTATTCCTTTTATTCTTTTATACTTAATTAGTTTGGGATTTTGCTTATTTTATATAACTTTAGTGGTAAGATAAAAAAAAGCAGATTGATGAGCTTAATTGGCTATGATTGGAGATATGATAATAAATAAAAAATAAATAACCCAAGAAAGTCAATAAATTGAAAAATGATTTGTAAATTAGGCTTAATCATACTTAATATCAGATAATTAACCAGGTATAAATACAACAGATCAGCCAACTACGCTCACTTGAAGTAAATTATATAATGTGATGGATATACATTACTTACTTACACTGCATGTAACATGCAGTGGAGCATAGGCGCCATCAAGCGTTCTCCAACCCACTCTGTCTTGGACCTTCCTTTCTAGTTCTATCCAGTTGTTGTTCATTCTTCTCATGTTTGTCTCTGTTTCTCACGATAATGTGTACTTCGGTCTTCTTCTTCTCTATTAGCCTTGAGGGTTCAAAGTGAGGGCTTTCCTTGCGAAGCAATCAGTTGCACTCCTCAATGTGTGTTCTATCCACTCCCAGGGTTTCTTCCTCATTTTCTGCTCCGTCGGAAGTTCGTTTGTTCTCTCCCATAGTAGGTTGTTGCCGATAGTGTCTGGCCAAAGGATCTGAATTATTTTGCGTAGACAACTGTTAATAAACACCTGTACCTTCTGGATGATGGTTTTCGTAGTTCTCCACGTCTTCGCCTCATACAATTGAACTGTCTTGACATTCGTATTGAAAATTCTGATCTTGGTGTTGGTCGACAATTGTTTTGAGTTCCAGATGTTCTTCAATTGTAAATATGCTGCTCTTGCTTTGCCGGTTTGCGCCTTCACAACTGCATCAGACCCACCGTGTTCATCAATGATACTGCCCAGATGTGTAGAGGTTTTTATATCCTCCAAAGCTTCTCCGTCAAGTATGATTCGACCGATGCATGCTGTGTTGCATCGGAGAATCCTGCTTTTGCCTTTGTGTATGCTGAGACCTACTGCTGCTACACTGGTCGACTTCTTCTGCATTTGTTGTTGCGTGTGTGATAGAAGATGGATTTACATGATACTACAAGAGTATGTGCCAAATGAATGCACCATCATTTAATTTCTTTGGCTGTTTTAAGAAAAATTATTATTCAAATGACTAACGCTGAACCTTTATCTATTTGTACATTTTATACATGTGTGACTGTTTATCCATACAGTTTAACTTTATGAATCGCATTACATTACATTACCACCTATTTTGATGACAATATTACAAGTAATGTAAATACATACTACGTACAATTAGTAAAATAAAAAATTATCAATACAAACAAAACACTAAGCCAATCATTCTGGAATCACTTTAAAACATCTCATGTGGCAAACAACGAGAGATCGATAGATATGTAGATCTAATGTTAGTTATACAAGAAATTAAGTTTATTATAATCGTAAATGATCAGCATGTATAACTGTATTTAATCTAAATTATAAAAAAAAAACATAATTTCAATGAATTTATTTAAAATTCACAATATGAATATGAATTAGTAAATTACAAGTTGAATTCTTTATTACTTTTTGTTACAGTAGTAGTATAAGTGGTAGTTAAATAGTGAAGTAAGCCAAAGTGTAGCAGACTAAGCATAATAAAATATGATTTCCTCTGCTAATATTAATTTATCAAGAATTTGTTTGAACAACGCACAAGAAAAAGAGAGAGAAATGCTTATCATTACTATCTGAATTGTTTTAGTGAAATCTTTTTTTTGTCTGATAATGCGGTATGGTATATATGTGTAAGTAGGTCGGTCAGTGTGTATATCCAACTATATATATTTTTCATAAGTAGTATTTTGTTGAGTATCAGTAGTTTGAAAAATGAATCTAAATATAATACTAACGCTAATTTATTAACAATCATTATAAGAATACTGAGAAGATTGAATAAAGCGCTTGAAATGAAAGAAAGAAATTACAATAGAACAGGAGAATAAACACGAAACATAAACACACATAAACTATGATGGTGTACTGGAAGACAAAGAGTTTTTCGACAATCGTTAAAATTTTAAGGGAAATTAAGGAGAGATACAAAAAGTTTACGAGACACACAAATACATCAATATTTACGCAAAGAGAAGAGTAACTTCTGATGGAAAGAAAAAAGAAGGAAATAGACAGAAGTGTTGTGTTTTAATCACCGGATGTCATATTATTGATTTAAGATAGAGATTATAGACATCTATGTATAAACTGAGGTGTGTATATGTGTGAAATGAAAAAAAAAGTTGAACAAAAGGCAGCATATAGTTGGGGTGAAAGTGAGCTATTAGACAAACACAGATTACACCATAGACAAATGCCAAAATCAAAATGCATGATGATTGGCAAATGTGGAAATTAAAAAAAATGAATATATATCATCTTAATTTGTAATAATAATCGTAATATTAATAATAATAATGCATGATACTAATATAAATCCAGTTGTATTTTCTTTGATTATAGAGTACTGTCCAATAAATGGATTAGTATTTTGCCAATATTATTTCTTCAATACGAAATTCATAAGACTGGCAAAAAAATTTATTAATTCATTAGTGTAAAATAATAATTTAAACAATTGTACCAGGCCAAGAAATCACTTGTAAAACAACATCTCCTGATGCTTGTTTCAATAAACGAACTGCTGATGAATGACGAATATTAAGCATGGATATATTATTCACAGCTAAGATTATATCACCGCATCTATTTGAGAAAGAGAAAAAATTATTGAATTAATAACAAGCAGGAATATTGACTACAGATTTTTAAGATTATGAGTAACAGATTTTTTGAGCATACGTTGTTTGCAAAGACAGAAACTATTTAGCTTGTGAACATAATGAGAAGCGACTATTACCTAAGCTAAGCTTTACCTTTCTTACGTAATTCGATAATAACATGCACATACACACAGACAGTTGGGACTTGGAGTTTAACAAAGAAGTTTTCCGTAATTGGTTTGAAAAGGAATCTGAAATTGTTATGAATTAAGATTTTATGAACGACTTGATAACTGATAGATACAATATATAAGAACTTTCGTCAAAATTAGAGCGAATAGTTCCACAGTATTTGAGCACCGAGTTGATGTAAGACATTAAATAAGAATAATATATTTGTAAAATCTCAGCGAATAAATTTGAAGTAAATCCAACGTTTGGCTTGACAATCTGGTCAGAGCTTTTTCAAGGAATCATAATCAAACATCAAAATTATCAAATATAAATAGGTACATGGTTCTCCGGTTCATTGCATACTGAATACGTCATCTAATCAACGTTAAAAATGTTTAAACTAGGTATATGAATTAGTGTGTAAGAGATTTCTGATGTGAAATAATAAGTGTTAATATAACATATTGTATATAAACGTAAGTGGTGAGAGGAGAAATTTCATTCACAATACATTGTCTCCTGTCGGTGAATTTTTTTTATAAAAAAAACAATTTTTTAATATAGATAGACACAATGTAATGATATCATAAGACCGAAAAATAATTGTTTACAAGATCGGATTACTGACGTACGGTGTAAAATAATTTGAAATTAAAGACAAAATCACTAGCTAGGATATATTTTCCATCTAAGAAAATGAAATGTTTATACATAAAATACTACTAAACATAATGAGATGTTACAAGTAACTGGAAAATATTAATTTCGAAAGTTTCTTACCAGTCCATTCAGTGTATTTAATGAAAATTTATGTTGCACTTATGTAGAGAAAGAGATAGTTATCGATGGAATTTTCAACTCAGTTTTTAAGTATCTACCTTCTCTCCTGAGATTTGAAAGCCCTGGATACGATTCAACGTGGGATTACAACTGTACTATAATGTGAAGTTTTAAACAGCTGTATTCAGCTGCTTAGTTTTCAATAGGTTTACCGGTTGATAGCAGTCCGTGATACAAAGATCCTTCAATGAAATTGTCCTTTACATATTCGTAAAAATTCTTATGTAAATTATGACAGAAATAAACAATAAGAGTTCAATGATTGATTTTTGGACAGTAGCCGTTGTTATCCAGTCAAGGGTGTTGAATGAACTCTTTAGGACAATTATATGATTTCGTTAATTAAATGGGTAAAGCGAATACTGAATTAAACTGGAATGATTTTTTGCTAATTTTTATACAGAATAACATTATATTTTGGTTTGAAAATAAATTACACGTTATCGTTCACCAAGAACAGTTAAACCTAGTTGGTTTGGTGTAACAACATTTCCTAAACACACGCAGTTGTTGATTAAGCATAAAAGTTATGCTAGTTAGCTATTGATAGACACTAAAGTATGTTATATCCTAACGAAGAATAAATGAATAGTAACTGCTACGAATAATTTATGGACTATTATTACACATAATCTTACTGGATAACTATTAAGTAACTATATTATACGTATATTCATATTCTTTTTACTATAAACTTCCGTTTCACCTATTGACTACTATTATACGATTTACTACTCTTAAGTTATTTCAGACTCATTAGCTACAGTCTTTCACACTCTCAGCCACTTTTGGTTAGATCTTGTTTAAATGTTATTTTCTATTTTATGGTGTGATGTTGTCTAATTTGCTTGTATATAAACCAAGTATTTCAAAAATATATGGTTTATGTAGTGGAAGCTAAGATTGTGTTCTGGACTCAAAGGGAAAGGGCTAGGCGAGAAGAACCAATAAGGACTCAGATTTGACTCTGAGCTGCTTGCATTGGTTTGGTACGGTGTCAAGACCATATAGGTCGTTTTCTAATTGGCAATTTGATCACATGATCATTAACTGAGCAATAGCCATAAAAAAGCAACATTGATATGTATTTAGGAAATTCTCCAGTTGTAAACTATTTCATTAGATTAGTTATACGGAAGATTTGTTTTATAAGAAAAATATGTTCACCAGTGAGAATAAAATGACCACGATAAAAAACGAATGAAATTTCGAAAACCCACCACTGTTTTTCTTAGTTGTTCTTTGATAAACCAAATTGTTCAGTCTGATTATTAACCGATTTGAATAACATTAAATAAACAACAGACTGGGTAAAGTTATTTTTACACGATGAACCATCAATTAAGGTGATCAAAAAGTCGCATAAGAATAACGGAATTCACAATGTCTTTTACAACTGAACATTAGGACGTGAAAATCAATTCTAACAATTGTATCACACTCATCTCCTTGTATGGTTAAAATTCTGTTTCATAGACTGAACAAGTGGTTAGTACAACCAATTTTCGCACCAGAAGTGATCTTTGAGTATTGTAATTCACTTAACTAGTAGAGATTTACGTACTTATCTACTCGATATCTTATGTTAAACTAGGTAGTGCATGGAATGAATTTACAACTTCGTGATCGAAAGTCTAATGTTTAAACTACTGAGTCATCACTTCATTTCATTTGAAACCAAATATCTGAAGTGGAATCATATGAGAAAATATTGTAGAATAATGAGACGCACTTACTTTAATCGACCATCTTTGTGAGCTAGAAGACCAGGAACTATAGATTTTATCACAATTGGTGAGGGATATAGATTTGAGTAACCCACTTTAGAGGGTACTTTTGGAGATGATTTACTCAGTTTTTCATCTGAATTATTTGAATTTGCTTGACTTGTTGTACTTTGATCATGTCCTAGACCGCCAACAATACTGAAGCCAAGAGGTTGAGAGATAGGACAGTCACTGTAGCTAGGAGTACTGGCTTCTCGTCGAAGAAGTATAACTCGGGCAAGTTGACATATTGGAGGTAATCGAAGCCAATATGTCCATGATGGCATGAAATTCTCCGGACCATCATTTGTCTCAGGAGCCGTAATCACACGTAACTGTATATGTGTTTGCATCGAACTAATTCGTCTAAGAACTTCTACAGCTTCATGATGAGTTAGCCCAACTAAACCTATACCATTTACTTCCAACAGAATATCACCTCTTTGAATCTAAAAAAATGGAACCAATTGAAATAATTATTAGATACTGATGTAATTCAAACAAATAACATTAGTTTGAATATATTTGGATAGAGGCTATCAATGAAATCCAGAACACATTTCTTGACTTTTTACCTGATTGCATCTACATCCCAATGTTGATGTTCATTGCATTCAGTTTATTTAACCATTAATTTTGTTTAATTGATGTGTTAAATCGTACGTGAGTGTACAATAAACAAAGACTGGACAAAGCTCAATCCTGAATACCAGTAACGTGGTAATACAAATAATTATGAATAAATGACAATACTATTGCTAATGTACTATTAATTATGTAATACTTTTTGATATAATAGATACAGCAAAACCAAGTACAGGTTTCTTTCAAAACTATGACTCAAGAAAAAAAGGGAAACCAAACTTATTCAACATTTTTTGTCAAAAAAGGGTAATGTCGATTTGAAATAAACTGAATAGGGAGGTATTAAAAGACAATTAATTGTTCATAGAACATATATTCTTAGTATACATTCATAGTGACTTCAACTCTATTGAAACTGGATATAAGTCCACTAAAATATGTCAGATATGTGATAAATTATACAGATAAAATATCCTAATTACAACATATACCATACATATATAATAGCCATTAACATTCAAAGACTTTTGTCATTATTTCAATGACGAATTTAGATAGATGTTTCTATTTAACTGATCATGAATAATAACTGTATTTCAAGCAAACCTTAACTACACAGTTTAATGGTACTATAGATTGAAGATAAGCAGTCAAACTATTTTCATTTCTGTTCATTAGAGGAACTTATTATATTAGTGACGATACATTTTTTTCTTTTTGACTGATAAATTTTGATATCTCATGAATTAATCAAGTCTCACTGAACAATGTTAAATTTGGAAAAATTTACAATTCTCAAAATAAGAGTACAAGACAATAAGAGATTTATAATACAGTTTGGATTTTATCGATTTCACTATAACTCAAACAAGAAAAAATACCGTTGAACTTGAAGTCATGACAACGCACCAATAAAGAAAATACATACAATCATACGGTTGTAAAATTTCCTGTTGTGAAAAGAATTCAACAAAACTACTATAATAATAAAAAATAATAGTAACACGAAAGTAAAATTTTGAATTAAGTGGAACGTAAAACGAATATGCACATATAGGAACACAAATAGAGATAATTATAAGAAGCCAGGAAAAGATTCATGTGAAAAATAGAAAAGATGGAAGGAAAAACTTAGAGGTAAAGATGTCAGATAAGAGAAAACAGGAGAGCACGTGAACTAATTGATTTCCGCGTGATTGTGATATATATATATATATATATATATATATATATATATATATAATCAAGGAAAGGGAGATTTTTTTAAGGAATACATTCCTGATTCACGTGCTAATAATTATAAGGTAGACTAAAAATAAAACCCGATAGTTAAGTAAGAAAAATTAAGAGGAATGAGGAGAAACTAATAGGAACACCAACAATGAGTTACCGAGAATAGTTTATTATGATCCAACAAAGGATGGCATTGTTATTTACTAACTATTAGAATGTGGTTTAGTGATTGAAGTAGTTTTTTTCCAGATATTCAATACTGAGTTTCAATTAAAATTTATGTGATTAGTTAAATAATGTATGCACCGAACTGGAAATGATGCTAGAAAAATGTTCTGGAGAGAAACTAATCAATATATTTATTAAAACTTTGACTGATTTTGAGGTGTTTGGGAAACACTTGAAATTTATACGAGTGAAGTGTAAGTATAAATTACTTGCAGGTTTTGATCTCTATCTGGCTCCATATATCTTTGATCTCAGTCATTTGGTATTAGAAAAAAACTGTATGATGAAACAAAACATTCCACTGAGATTTCAGTGGTAGTCGAGTTTGGGATAAAACGGTCTTTTATTTATTCTGATTGAACTGAATCATAAAAGATAATTACTAAGACGAGTATATCTCTACTCAGATATGATAAGAAAAGTAATTCTGACCATCAAGTCGAGAGCGATATTAATCGATCATTAATTAGAATGAGAAATCTGATCATGATTTTATACAGGCTTCTAGCAAGAGATGCATTCATATATGGTTTCATGTAATCGGTGTAAAGTATTAAAACAAAATATATTGGTTATTCACGTACCGACTTTGATCGACCCAGAACACACTCAACACTAATATTTGTTACATAGATGGGTGTATCTCCACGTTGTGAGTGACGTCCTCCGGCAATCGATATGCCCAAGGGTTCTTCCGAACTTTTGTTCACAACAATAGTCCTTTCTTGACATGGTTCAGCTGATGATGACTAGATACCAAAATGTGAACGACGAAAATAAATGAGAAATGTGCATTATTTTATATTAAGAAAGAATAGGACATTATGCAAAAGGTAACAATTAGGTTTATAAGTTGACTTTTTTTCCCAATGTTGTAGACAAGAGGAGTTTGGAAATATAGCATATTCAATGAACAGAGAGTTAAGTATGAGGTGAACTACGACACAGTGATGCCATCGAATTTCTCATAATAGTTTGGAGTAAGGTTAAAATAACAATCGGGGAAGTACACCATCAACAATAACAATGATAATAAATAGCTATAAGATATAAAACACAGAGGAGATGGGTTGACAAAGAACTATTTGTACACATATATAGAATAGATGCACTCTTATCATTGAGCAGTGACAACGAAGATCTCGATTGACCAATAACAAGTATCTTACAAATAAGAGTAAGAAACCTTATATTTTTTTACACTACCGATGAGAAATTTCAGTAAACAATGGTTTTTATTGGTTTTTTTATTTTAACCTTACATTAACCTAAGGAAACTTTACAGCTTTAAAGACAGAAGATAGATCACTTGATTTATGAATTTCGAAGTATTTGTTATATTTAGAGGAATTATATGCTGTAAAAAGCTGGAGTTAGATATAATACGTAGGAAAATAATTCATTTATAGGAGTTAGCGTACATGAAGTTAAGTAACTGAAACATTTATTATGGATTAGAAGCATGAGTGGACTTAAACGAAGTGGTTACCCAAAGAATAACAAGTCGGAAGGAGTGCATTGTAATGATAGAAGTAGTAGACTCTGCTTCAATCAGGGTTAGGTAACAAATAAAATCAACGCACGAAAACCTTAGATTATATGACTAACTATAAGTCAAACTGAAGTTTTGATATGTGACACGGTATTTTAATTCCTCATCTTTTCAATATGTTATTTTGAAAACCTTACACTCAGGCTTTCATGTTTAATCGCTATTAACTTCATTGTTTAACTTCACTAGCCTGTAATATTTATAATGATACATCATTTAACCAGGTAATTTGTTGTTTCTCTTTCCTACTTACCTATCGGAATCACTAACAGGAGTAGATAGTAGTTAAACATTTGAATTATAAATCTCAATAATTGAAATTAATGCAAGTTCCCTTTGTTTGCATGTCATCATAAAATATTTCTAAGAGACTGACGTTGATCACTGCTTAGACAGTGTTCCTGCATTCCACTGCAAGCCACCATCCATTTCTGCTTACAATAATCAATATGTATTTTGTTAAGTTTACCAAGAATGAAAATACGTTTTATTGTGAATAAAAGATTAGGAAATCGCTACATGGTAACAAGTCGATTAGATTTAAATTATATGACAACGAAGCTGTTTGATGTGATAAGATAAACACATCAAGTAAAGCCATAAACTATTGAAATTACAACCAATCATTGTATACCATATAAGGCTTGTGCAATAAGTATGCAAACTGAGTCGCTAGGGCTTTTAACATTCACAATTATTCATTGATGAAATATGTAATCGTAATGGGTGACTGTTGCATCATGACGAAGCGTTTGTATATTCATCAGAGATTATCTAGCTGTTTTTGGTCTATTCTCCAATTATCATACAAGGTTACCTACAAACTTACTAACAAGAATCAGCCTGAGATTTATTTCTGTTACTGAAATGTTAACTGGTCTTGATAGAGAAAGTACTAGGATAGCGAGAACACGATGATGTCATAGTGGGAAAGCTTGAATTCTGTGTGCTCAAGGAAATATATAAGACATAGGTGGAAGTTGGACAAATGAGGAGTACCAGGAAGGTGATAAAATCAATCTACCTTAAATTATATATATATATATATCGCCAAATCAAAATTAATCAAAGCACATAGAGGGGGCTTATAGAATTCTTTTACTTTCAAAATAAGTAACTGAGTGGATTTGATTAGTTTGAATTTCCTGTAAACATTTCGAAAATAACTGGGAACTAAGGAGCGCTAGCTGATCCTATTCTGAAAAAAAAGTTCTTGGCTATCACCGCTTTCATCATTGATATGTCTTGTAGGTTGAACGCTTATTCAGATCCTAAGCTATACGGATAACCCCAGGCTAGCACTACTCAGCAACTTGAAGACCAGGGAGAAGACACGAGTAGCAGAGAAAACCTTTACTGCAAGGATCAGTTTTGTACAGAAAATCGTAAGTATTTATAGATGTTTGCTTAAGTTAAATCAACATCCTAATTCAGCCAATCCAATAAACGACATATATTGCTACTGACCAATGGTAGCGTGCCACATTGGAACTCCAGAATGTTCTGTCGTACTCTGATTGGTTGGGACTCTTTTTGAGCCTCTGGGGGCTCTGTTGGAGTTCGCGGGAAGCCGACTTAACACCTCCCCCGAATAAGACTTCTTCCTAGGGTCAACTTGTAGTTTGATAACTGGGTTGCGACGTCGTCCCATTATTCTCGTCGTCTTCCCTGTCCACGGCTTCCTTCCAGTGTTCTTTGGCGTTTGTGGCGTTGGTGCGTCTAAGATTAAATCTAACGGAAAATTCGGCGGGTTACTTCGATTCTGCATCATTCTTTTGTCTTTAAGGATTTGATTTGTGTGTCGTATGCACATCCCAAAAGTTCCTCGAACTCTGTACAGAACTCTTCCCAATTTTTGTACGACTTCTCCTGGCTCCTATCGGTTCTTCCGGATGTAGGATTTAATGTAAACTTTGTCGCCGACACTGAAGTTCCGAATACTTGGATTGTGACTGCGCTCATCAACTAATTGGGATGGTAACATGACATTGAAGACGGTTCGAACACGTCTTCCGAACATGACTTCCGCAGGAGACTTGCCGTCCGGAACATTCGGATTTGGAGTGGATCTGTAGGATGTTAAAAATTTCGTGATCACCTGCCCAGTCGGCCCTTCGCCCCCCCCTTCAGTAATGCTCGTTTAAAAGTGTCCACGAAGCGTTCTGCTTGTCCGTTAGATTGTGGATGATAGGGTGGAGAACGAAGATGAGTTATTCCGTTTGCTTTACAGAAATGCTTAAACGATTCTGCGGCGAATTGCGAGCCGTTGTCTGTTACTAAGGTCTCTGGTACTCCAAAACAGCTAAACAGGGTAGACAGCTTGTAGATTGTTTCTGAGGTTGTACAATTTGGCATGGTATATACTTCCGGCCATTTAGTAAATGCATCTACGATAATTAGAAACATTTTTCCTTGGATTGGACCAGCAAAATCTGCATGAATTATTTCCCAGGGTCCTGCAGGCGTAGGCCAATACTGAGGTTCGCATTTCACAGGATTTTTAGCGGCTTGAATGCATGATGGACAGTTACGGCATTTATTCTCGATATCTTTGTCCATTGACGGCCAATAAGCATAACTACGAGCCAACGATTTCATTTTATTTATTCCAGGATGGCCATTGTGAAACTGCTTGAGAACCTTGTGACGTAATAACTTCGGAATAACAATTCGATCACCGAACATAATACACGAGTCAACAACCATTAGTGAGTCCCGTCGACGAAAATATTGCAAAAGTTCTATGTCAAGACGATTGTTTGGCCATTTGGACGAGAGATAGCATTTGACTGTGCTCAGTATCTTATCGTATTCAGTGATCTTCTTGATAGTTTCAAAGGTTACTGGGAGTCCATTGATTGCGTCATCCAATACCCGATGAACTTCTTCCTCGGCTTTTATACTTGCTACAAGAGTCTCCTCTGGGGTTTTTGATTTGGAGCCTATTAATCTTGACAATGCGTCAGCTTGTCCGAAGGCGGTAGTAGACTGATACTTTATCTTGAAGTCGTAACCAAGAAGTGTGGTTGCCCGTCGTTGGAGTCGGTTAGCTGTATGAACTGGAATACCTTTCTTTGACCCAAAAACTGCAAGTAGTGGTTTATGGTCTGTTATTAGAGTAAAATGTCGGCCATATATCATCTTATGGAACTTCTTCACTGCAAAGATAATTGATAGGGCCTCTTTTTCAATCTGACTATAGTTCCTTTCGGTCGTTGTCAAAGATCTGGCAGCGTGTGAGATAGCTTTTTCAGACCCATCAGGAAAAATGTGAGAGATAACTGCACCCACACCATAGTTAGAAGCATCTGAAGCGACGACTATCGGTAGAGAAGGATCATAGTGTGTCAATAAAAGATTGGAAGTCAGGAGTTGCTTGATTTTCTCGAAAGACGCTTGGCAGTCTGCAGACTAATTCCATCTCGTATTCTTTTGTAATAGGTTGTTTAGTGGAGAACGTAGACGATGGCGATCAGGGAGGAAGGTACCATAATGGCTGACCAACCCCAAGAATGATCGTAGGGTGGTAATGTCCCTGGGTCTAGGCATTGTTTTCACCGCTTCAATGTTCTCTGGATCTGGTCGTCTTCCGTCTTTATCTATTATGAACCCCAGGTACCGTACTTGCTGCATATAGAAGTCACATTTTTCCGCCCGGAGTCGAAAACCATAATCTGCTACGCGTTCTAGTACCTGGTCTAGTTTCTTCTGCAGGTCCATTTTATCTACTGCCATAATTATGATGTCGTCTAAGTAAGCTGCTGCCCCTGGAATACCTTGTAACATGGTATCCATAATTTGCTGAAAAATAGAAGGCGCTGTCTTCACCCCAAAAGGTAGTCGGTTATACCGGAACAGACCTTTGTGTGTGTTGATCGTTAAAAGATCTTTGCTTTCATCAGATACCGGGATTTGAAAATATGAGTCTGATAAGTCCAATTTCGCAAAATATCTGCCACCGTTCAGCTTAGCGAAAAGATCTTCTGGTAAGGGCAACGGATACTGATGTGACTCTAGAGCTTCATTTAATCCTGTGGAGTAGTCTGCACATAGACGGACACTTCCATTCGACTTCTTGACCACCACTATTGGTGCAGCCCAGTTCGAGAAGTTCACAGGCTCGATAACACCCATTTGCTGAAGTCGCTGTAATTCCTGTTCGACTATTGGAAGAGCAGCATAGGGCACAGGTCTTTTAGGTCGAAAAATGGGAGTAGCTGCAGGCTTTAGAGTTAGCACTGCTTTAGCCTTCGAGCACTCGCCTAATCCTTCTTGAAACACGTCTTGGTGTTTTTGTAGCATGGCATTTTTCTGACTCCACTCTGAGGTGTTGTAAGTTGTGATTCGTTTACAGATACTGTTAATAGAGTGGTCTGCTAGGTCAAGTGTTTCTATAAGATCCAACCCCATTAAGTCGAGTGCTGGCTTCTTTGTAAGATACACTGTTGCATTTGTTGTTACCGCATTTTTAGACACAATACAAGGTATCTCTCCAACAATGTTTAACTTCCCACCTGATGCACTGTGTGCTATTTGTGTTGTTCGATGCACCGAGGGTCGCCCAATCTTCTTCCAAGTTTCTGGACTTATCAAAGTAATATCAGAAGCAGTATCAAGCTGAAGTCGAATGCGATGTTTATTAATATTCAAGGTTACGTACTTTCTCTGGCGGCACCTTCGAGCTTTGTTATGTGATACCAATATTCTTTTCGTTAATGCCCCAGACCTGTATTTCTTGAAGTAAGATTTTGCAAAATGTCGTTTATAGTTTCTTTTCCTGCAGCTGGTTTCTATATGGCCCTTTCGATGACATTTACTGCAACAATGTTCTTTATACGGGCAAAACCTCTTACAGTGCCAGCCTCCACATGCCCAGCATGGAGATGATGGTTTGTCGCCGTTATTACGATAATTAGGTGTGCTGGAACCTTGCAAGGATTTTCTCTTGACTGCATTGACATTATGGGGACAGTTACCGTTTTCTACCATTGAAGTATCATGCTTCAAGTTCACTAACCTTTGGCACTCGGTAGTTACTTCCTGTAGGGTCATGTTAGGGCAGTGTTCAAGTTTACTTAGGATTCTGGTCCGGATATCAGCATCATCAGGAGAACGCAGGCTGCAGATAAATACTAAACATTTAAACTGGTCCTCAGACATGGAAGATAATTTGAACCTCTCGCATTCACGGTTCACAGTTCCTGCATGTTTCACCCAATCATCTCCAGATTCTTTCGTTAACTTTAAACACTGATAACGGATATTAAATAAAGATGATTGTTCTCCGAAAATTTGGGACAGGGTTTTGACTGTTTCATCGAAACTAAAATCTCGTGGGTTCTTCGGGAGAATGAAGTTGCTGTAGCGTTCATGTTCCACAGTCCCCAGTTTTCTGAGAAGTATTCTGACTTTCGAAGCATCATTCAGGTTGCAAAGATCAATATAAAAAAAATCTTCATACTTCTTAAACCACGACTCAAAAGTTATACCTGCTACACCATCAAAATTAAATTCATGTATGGCGTTATTGACTGAATCAGTATGTGGTACTTGTGATTCACTGGAAGCAGGGTTTCTCTCGGACAGGAATAATTTCTGCATCAGGGTTTCCATGATTCTAATTTGGGACTCTTCAAACCTCTTTTCTTGACGCACCATATAGGCTTCTAATTGCTCCAGAGAAATATTCATTGTCATTTTCCCGTCGCCACTGATATGTCTTGTAGGTTGAACGCTTATTCAGATCCTAAGCTATACGGATAACCCCAGGCTAGCACTACTCAGCAACTTGAAGACCAGGGAGAAGACACGAGTAGCAGAGAAAACCTTTACTGCAAGGATCAGTTTTGTACAGAAAATCGTAAGTATTTATAGATGTTTGCTTAAGTTAAATCAACATCCTAATTCAGCCAATCCAATAAACGACATATATTGCTACTGACCAATGGTAGCGTGCCACATTGGAACTCCAGAATGTTCTGTCGTACTCTGATTGGTTGGGACTCTTTTTGAGCCTCTGGGGGCTCTGTTGGAGTTCGCGGGAAGCCGACTTAACAATCATCAATAGAGAGAAGCTAGGACTACGAAATGCCATAGAAACTATTTCGACATTACTCATCCATAGTTGTGTCTTACATTCCATCTTCTTTTCATACCGAGTGTGTACAGATATTCTGGATGAAGTCGTATAGATAACATGCTGTTTAAAAGCTAAATGGTAATTGAGAAACAAGTATAAAAGACTTATTTTGAATAAATGCATTGATCATTTACACGGGTTTATTACCCACAAATCCATCTAGATAATTTTGGACAAATATATGTACCCGAATGTTGCAAGCATAGTTATTCAGCTCTCAACTATGGAGATTTCCATGCAGCTTTAGTCTTATTTCCCTGAGCATTTGGTTGGTTAAAGGTATTAGTGTGCATTAATGACTGAATGGTACAGAAAAAGGAAAATAACACAAACGAAATAAGCAAATATAAGACTGGAAGCAAGAAAACTTACAGTAAACTGTTTATCACTGTTTCGAGTGTGCGGACTACTTGGAGTAGCTGAATCTACAGGATTAGAACGATTTGTCGACTCGTTAAAAGTATGATTCACTCTTTCTGGTTGTTGATTCTCGTCAGTTGTTGTTGGTGATGACAGATTGAAGCAGGCTAATTTCTGTTCATTTGAAGAATGAATTAATTCTGTAGTTGAATGAGCAGTAGTGTCAGAAAAATTTATTTCTCGGTCATCCAAACTTGACCATGAAAAATTATGGACTGGTTTTGATGATTCACGATTATTATTATTATTATTATTATTATTATTATTATTACGTGGACGTTGATTATTTGAATTGAGCTGTAATGGTTCCAAAGCTAATAAACTATTCTCTGATTTCTCTTCCGAATCTGTTGTAGTTCTTAAAATATCCGGTGTATCAGATCGATTTCGACGGCTTATTTTAAAAATAACATAATCCGAAACAGACTAAAACAAAAGGTGATTGATAAAATAACAAGGAAAAATATATAATTGGGAGAAAAGAAAGATAATTTTTTAATAGCTGAATATAATCAATCTGAATAACAAGTGCTAAAAGCACGTAAAAATCTATACTGAAAATTATGACAATAAGTTTAGGACATGTTTTTATTCTAGGTTCAAAATTGGACGATTTTACACATTACAAGTGGGAGTATAAATGATGATTTTTAACTCATAGACGAGAGAAAAGTGTGATCATAAGGTGAAGTCTATTAGTATTTCAGATCATTAAACAAAACGAGTAGTTCACAGTTTAGTATATGAAGAGAAAAATAGTGGTTTTAAAACCACGTGTACAGGGATTTTAATAGGAGCTGCAAGAGTATTACCTAGACATGTCGCAGTGAATCTGAGCCAAGTGAGTTCTGTTTACGGTCTGAATAAACCGGAATAAAATCTACAAAATTCAGCAGATTCGAAATAAAAGTTTAGCAAAACTTCGACGCAAATATCAGTATTATGATCATAAACTACATAGTTGATTACCTTTAAAAAGTTGAATAAATAAATCACGGTGAAAGTCGAATCACCAAAAAAATTTCAGTTACGTGACCAAAACTTCGTTAGTATGTATTGAATGTTACGGAGATGTTTACATCTTCAATAAAGATAAATGATTAACGAAGTAACCAGGATGTACTGTATTCATAGACTTATTCTATCAAATGAAGATTTCGAGTTAAGGTACATAACTTCTTGTAGCAGACGTCGATGTTATGCAGGACGATCAAAAAATTTATGCAGTTAAATCATCCAACTCAGAGAACATAATAACAACAAACTACTTATTTGTTGATAGTCAATGGAGATTCATTGTATCATCTAGATGACAACCGCTAATTATGACTATTACGTTTGAATCTATCGGAAAAATTGACAGATCACCATAGACTGATATGTTTAAAAGATGCTTTATTAACATTCTAATATTCTACGCAGTTCCTCCTTTATGGGTTGTTATATGATAACAAAAATTGAAATGAAATTTATCTTATTTCCAGTGTGTTGTGATTAAAGCTGTTAATCAGATTGGAGAGTCATATGACGGGGTGGTAATAGATAAACGATTACTTTATTACCATGGTTACAATTTAAGGGGTGTGTACAAGAATATAGATGTTTATAGCAAGATATGTGTAAATTGTTTAAGTACGTTTTGAGTTCATGGACTATATTTTAATTTGTTGTCCTGTACTTAAAGTTCTAAGTATAAATTAGGTACGTATACATTAATTTGAATAAAATGTTAAATAATACATGAACTACCGAAAAAATACTGAAATTATCTGTACATGATTTACTGGTTTGAAATCGATTCAATCTAATTTGTTATTAAAAGAAAGTTTACAGAATAAAAGCGATAAAAGGAATTTGAAGAAAACGATAGAAACTAACAAACCTGACAAAATGTTTTTTAAAGACACCTGACATGTATACACGATTGAAAGTCCTTGATATTAATTGTAAGGACTAATATTTCCCCACTATTGATATTCAAACCTAATTGATCTCTGTTAGCACAGATGGACCTCTAATGAATGCTTCAATCTCCCTTACAGTTACAGTGTTTGTCTAAAATCTTCTTAATTTCTTCTGATGTCATACTACGGTATGGTATGACCGCAGTGGATGTCTAATCTTTCGGTACATATTTTAATTTAGTTTTTCTTTTATCACTGATAACCGCTTTGGGTTAATTGTTAGCCCTAAACGTAGATAAAATTCCATTCAATTGAACCTGTTGGGTTTCCTCATCTGTAATGAGATTATTATTACTGTTAATTAAATTTTTTACCACTATGACTTCCGTAGAATACTCATGAGCCAGACCGTAATCTAAGTATCTCTCAGAATGTGTTGACTTCCTGAATACATTTATTTTCAACTTATTATTATTGTTACATCTTCGCTCAACCATACAATCGAGAAGGGCTAGTTTATGGCTACTACACTCTATTTCCTTTGTTAATTTGATGCTCTCCGAAATGCTGTTCAGATTTTCGAACACTTTTTCTAAACCATTCCGTTTAGTGATATTAAAAATGTCATCTACATACCGTGACCAGACTTTTGACGGATTTACGTATCTTGTGATCGTACTGGTTTTTAGGGAATGCATGAATAAATTCGCTACAATCGCAGAAATTGGTAAACCCATTGCTACACCTTACACTTGTCTGTAAAGGTCTCCTCGAAATGTGAATAACGTTGGTGGTAAACACTATTCCAACCATTTAATAACTTTGGATGGATTTAACGGGCATCGTAAATTTAAATCTGAGTCAGATTCGAAATAATCATAAATAATATCTAATACTTTTTTGATAGGTACGTTAGTAAATAAGGAAGAAACATCAAAATTTGCCGTCATTTCATCCTCTTTTATATGGATAGTATCAATATAATTATTGGATTCAGTAGAGTTTTTAATTTTATGATTAGTCAATTTGTCATACGGTTTGAGTACCCAAGGTAAGTATATTGTTAGATTATATGTCGGTGAATTTGTAAGATCAACTGATGGTCTTAGTGGAGTATTATACATGTGAATCTTTGATAATCCATATAATCTACAAGGATTACAACTTCTTGGATAATGGTCCTAGTTTTACTTTTATCGACTGTAAGATTCTGCTAGTTTCAGCCTTAAGTTTATTAAGCGTGGTCCGACGTTTCGTTTCTTTAATGATTTTTACAGGCCATCTTGGAGATGTTCCCCAGCTTTTTTCTCGTAGTCTGACTTGATCATAGTAACAGTCGTTTTCCCTTTGTCTGAACTCGTAATGATAATTGTCTTATCATTTTTCAGCTGCTTTAATGCATATAATTCATTTTTAGTTAGATTGGAATTGTATGGTTTTTGATGTGATAAAGTGGCCGCTATTTTATTCCGCTAATCATTCGCTGTTTCATTAGAAAGGAAATTCATGCTTTCAAATGATTTGTTGTCTACACTATATTCATAAAATGTACACGGCATTGTGAGTAGAGCTTGACTGTCCTATATTTATTTACACTAATTGACCTACAAGGATGAGAATTATAGAAGCTTGCAAATATTATTTAGATTAACGTGTTAGAATGCTTTTGTGAACAAAAAGTTGTCGATTCAACGGACAACTGTCTATTGATCAGTTGTTTTTAATTCCGGCCTTTGTTAAGTAAGTTTTCAGGATTATCAGTCGGTTTTAATCTATCGTGACAACAAATGAGCTCTAGAATATTGTTAAAATAATAATAGTAATAATAATAATAATTAAAATTAGCCTTCTTAGAATTAGTTATACAAGTGACATGATATTTCTATAGTAATCTTGTTAGAAAATAAAATACGAGATATGAAAACTTCCTAATGAATAAAATAGTAAGCCAAAAAACATTGTAACAATTATGCATACATTAATTATTTGAGCTGCTTGTTCTTGTGTCCCATTCTCTAAATCAATTCCGTTAATTTCTAATATACGGTCATCCTTTTTTATTCTTCCATCAAGATCAGCTTCACAACCAGCGACAAGTTCCAGTACGTATAGTCCTGGTAAATGTCTAATCATGAAGAAAAAGAATACTTATGTTAACAGAACAGTAGAACATTTGTTAATGGAATAGTATATCCATACAATATTATTATTTAGATGTAGAATTTATGAAGATTTTGTTTTAATTCAAGGACAACTTTTATCACACATTCAGATCACTATTAGAGCTATTGAATGGCGGGAGACATTAATTCAAATATCCGCATATTCAAAATTATGGACATACATTATGGATTCAGTCAGTCAGTCAGTCAGTTACAACGTAGAACTTCGTACGTACGTACATCAGTTCGAGTTGCCATACCACATTAGCACAGAGATGCAGTTGTCGATTCAAATCCCATAGTGGTAGAAGTAGTAGGAGTATAATCAGAAATCCAAAAGATTAGGGTTTGAAGAAATTATTGAATGAGTATAGTACAATGAAATAAATTTGGAAAGAGAAAAAGATAAAGACATGAGGAATTCAGAAGATTAGAATTTGGTAGAACACAAAGAGTGGATGCACCTTTGCCATTGCAAACGATTTTGAGCCATCTCATTCAAGGTCTCTAACCATCGGTTGCTGTCATCTCGCGAATCCCAACCAGGTAGTCTACACCTACCAACATGGTCCAGTCCACTTGTCAGTGACTTCATGGATTTGTGCCACGTTTTTTTATAGCCGCCTTTAGCTTTCTTCCAACCTACTCCTACACCATAAAACATTGCACGTCGGGGCAGTCGGTGGTTGAGCATACGTAACACGTGTTCCAGCCATCTCAACTGACGAAGTTTCACTACTTCATCAATCGATTTGCCATCCTTACCTAGTACCCGTTTCCTAACAACTGAATTACTTACCCGGTGGTCCCAGGATATAGTAGCAATGCGTCGAAGACACCTATGATCGAACACTAGTAGCTTACGAATATCCTCTACTCTTATTGGCCATGTTTCACTGCCATAAAGTAGGACGGAGCGAACTGCTGCACAGTAAACCCGTCCTTTGGTTGCTAGACGGATATCTCGCCTACGCCATAAATGACGCAAGTTGGCGAAAGCTAGACGAGCCTTCTGTATCCGTGCTGAGATTTCGTCACACACCAGACCACAAGGGCTGATGAGACTCCCAAGATAAGTGAAGTGGTCTACACGCTCAACTACTTCACTCCCTATCATTAGTTCAGGTGTCGATGCAACCCAATCCTGAAGTAACACTTTGCATTTCGAGGGAGAGAATCACATTCCGAACATGCCTGCATAGTTGCTTATAGTGGTCAGAAGACTCTGCATGTTGTCAGCATCTTCACCAAGTAAAACTATGTCGTCGGCGTATTCTAAGTCAACAAGTGAGCCTCCTGGTAAAAGTTCAACTCCTGGAGGTTTAGCTGATGAAAGTGCTATCTCTAAAAGTATGTCAATGACAAAGTTAAACAAGAATGGGGAGAGTGGACAGCCCTGACGACAGTTCGCCATAGGCTCTAACTCGACCAGTTGTGCTCGAGTAGAGAGCCTTTATGAGGTTAATGTACTTCTTTAGTACTCCTTTCAGTGACAAACATTGCCATAGAACCTCACGATCAACGGAGTCAAATGCCACCTTAAGGTCAAGAAATACTACTATTGTGGGACGTCTGAATTTGTGTCTATGTTCTAGAACCTGACGTAGGGTGAATATCTGGTCTATGCAACCACGTCCAGGTCGAAAACCAGACTGGTTTTTTTTCTAGTCTGCTCTTCACGAGCTTTGGTTAGGCGACCTAGTATTATTGAAGCTAATATTTTAGACACTATATTAGTCAAACTGATCCCTCTGTGATTGTCACAGGAGGACTTTTGTCCTTTCTTATAGACTGGCACAATCAGTGATTGGGACCAGTCAGATGGAATTACGTCCAGTTCCCAGATTCTACCTAAGACCTCAGTCAATCTCACTGCTAGTACTGGACCACCATCCTTAAAAATCTCAGGGGTCAACATGTCAGGGCCTGCTGCTCTCCCTCGCTTCAGATTTCCTATAGCTTTTTCAACCTCACAGAGGGTTGGAGGACTTACGTCAATTTGCCATTCAGGACGACTGGGGATCGTGGGTAATTGAAGCGTGGCTGAAGGCCAGTTGAACTGATCCCTAAAGTGTTCTGCCCATCGATCCAATCTCCTGGATTGAGAATGAATAATATGCCCATCTCTATCTGAGATGGTTTCACTGATATTCGGGTTCCTAATGCCGGTTTCTTTAACGAGTCTGAATAGCTGCCTACTGTTACCTATTGCCGCTGCCTTTTCTATCTCTCTTGCTTTCCCTACCCACCACTGTTCACGATCATTACGTAGGCTTCTTATAAGCCTGCGCTTAAGTTGACTCCGCTCTTCGTTATGCTCAGAGCCAGGTGGGATGAGTTTACGAGCATCTATCAGTGCGGAAGATGCTGCCGAGATCCATTGTTTCTCCCTAACGTTATGGTTTACCTTATTAGCGGATATCACAGCTGTTTCCACAGCTTTTCGGATGTCATTCCACGCTGCCTCGGGGGGGGGGACACAACTTACATGGCTGCCTAACTGTTTTTCTAGTTGTTCCTGAAATATATTCTTAGCTTGCCTATCATTAAGTAGAACCCTTAGAGGCTTCCCTGCAGTGTCTTTCCTACGACCAGTAAGACGCAGACAGATACGTGCTCGCACTAGAGCATGATCTGAATCTAAGCATGTGCCCCAGAATGAGCGACAGTCTTCTATCGAGCCCCTCCATCGGTGGCTGATAGCGATGTGATCTAGTTGGGTACAACGTTGGGACGAATTCGGGGGTCGCCATGTCAAAAGATGTTTTTCCTTATGCTTAAAGTTAGTATTTGCAAGAAATAGGCGGTTATCTGAGCACAGCTGCAACAGACGGTCGCCATTATCTGTTCTTTTCGCCATGACACCATAAGATCCACCCAGGTGTCTTTCCCTTTCACTTAGTTTACCTACTTGAGCATTAAAGTCACCTGCTACTATTACTACATCAGAACGCCTAGCTTCTCGGAGAAGGTCAGAAAGTTTCCTGTAGAACTCATCTTTTATATCGTCTGAGCTGCAGTCAGTGGGAGAGTAGGCAGAGACGACGAAGAGGCAACGACGAGTTTCCCTATCTTTCCGGGTCCTTACTGATCCGTTTAGTCGGACAGCGCATAGACGACTGTCTACTGGGATCCAGTCTAAAAGAGCTAGTTCTGCCCTAGGACTTAATGCTATACCTACTCCAGCGAGGCCACGGGAAGCAGCGTCAGGGCTTCCAGATACACGGAGCGTGTATCGAGATGAAACTTTATTTTGATTAGGTGCGGTCAAATGAATGACACTACTCGGATCTTGTATGCGCGTTTCGGAGACGCAGCACACATCGATGGTGTAAGATTCTAGAGTCCTAGCTAAGGAAGCCTGTTGTCCTATTTGGCACAATGTCCGGACATTAAAAGTTCCTATATGTAGTTTAGAGCGTGGTTTCAGGAGACCAGGAATAACGTTCTGTGTACTCGAATCGTTTGCCCTAGCGGTGCGACGTGATAAAAGGACGTGGGAAGGGTTAGTCGTCGAAATAAGAGAGTTATTAGGTGTAGGAAGGATTTGAAAGCGACCAACTTGGTCTTGTGTGCAGTTAAGGGTATGAGGGCTAGTATCACTTCCCGGCTGCCCACACCGTGGAAGGGTATTTCTTGAGGGACCTGAAAAAGAAGTTGGATTAGTGTTGGTCTTAACGACCTGGGAGCGTGACCGCAGTGCCCAAGGGACATCTGCTTGAGGCCGGTCACGCACGGCCTTTTTGTGGGGGATTTTTGACGTGTTAGCTCCGTTCTTCAAAAGTCCTTACCGCCGGAGACGGAAATCCGTGGGATAAGGCGAGGTGTGCATTTTTAGGGTCAGCCCTTTCCAACCCCACCCCTCCTTTTGGAAAGACAGCATTGCTGTTATGCTGGTTGTCTGGAGGAAATACCTTACTGCAGTTACACATCTGTACAGTCAGCAGTACTTCACCCTCGGACCTTGGGTTTGTTGCTTTTAGTCTTACCGCTCTTGAACCGACCTGTCTGGCATGGTAGGACCATGAGGAACGATTATTCCAGCCAGTATAGCTCGATTAGTTCATCACGATAAGCAAGCCCGACCACCACGTCAAGGTAGCAGCAACGGTCGGGATTCAGGTGAACCTATAATGAATTTTTCTTTATAATAAAATCTCTATCACAAGCGTATAAACAAATTGAATATATCCTATGTAAATAACATAATAATAATAATAATAATAATAATAATAATAATAATTAATGGCTTTATTCAATATTATAATCTGGTACAATATAGAATTCTCAGCACGAGTTATTTCAACAAGTTTTTTTTACCAAAAAAAAACACAAAACAAAAAAAACCAGTAGCTACTGCGCCACCACAGGTCTTTTTATTGTTTGATCGATCCTGACGATAGATATTAAGATCACGTAATGATACTAGGCAATCATCCTGTAAGTCAGTCAACCAAGATTCTTGAATTGTGATGACACCACAATTAAGATACATGTTTTGACTTAGCAGAAATTGGAGATAGTCCACCTTGTTAATTAGAGATCGACAGTTAGAGTTAAGCAGCTCGGAAATCGACATTTGATTAATGTTTATTCTCTCTAAAGCATATTGCCAAACACCACAATGTCTCTTATTGTACTTGTTTGTAATTTTTGCAGCGAAAGGACGTAAGCTTTTCATAAACGCGCCTGTATAGGTTATGCGATCAAGAGACATAATGATAGGTTAAAACCAATTTTTAAAAAACCCAGATAACTTGTTGAAATATTTAGATGGCAGAAACAGGTAGCCCAGGGATTCAAGCAGGCCGCACATTCGCCAGTGTTCGTTGAAAAATGAACACAATGAAAGTACTTAATCAATTTCAGCCCAAACGGATAACATGCATAACAGTTAGATGTTTCGTATATGTTGTTTACTCTGAGCTTAATTGTTTGATTATGACATATTCATTGTCCGCTTGGACATCATCTGAATAAATCCATGAAAGAGTTGATCGATGAAAACTATTTTTAGTACATGTTTTATAGAAGATTGTTTGATGACATGAACAATGATTAGTTAGTAACAGTTGTTCGTTGTCATTACTAATTTTTATTGATATAAAGTTTGGACAGTAAAAATTAAATTGTATTTTTTAATACTTTTAATAGTTGAATCGAAATATTTAAGTTATTAAAAGATAAGAATTGGAATTCCTGTGTCTACATTAAAAGGGTAAATTTCCAGGTACAAAATGATTCGGGATTTTGAATTCAACAACGAATTTTACACACAAAGTGTAGTTAGCTGATTTTTGTGAAGATGCAATCGATCTGAAGACAATTTTTATCATGCATTGACATAGGGTGGATAAACAGAAGAGACAGAGACTATGGAACATTTCATCCAAGCCTCAGACTTATCAGTAGTGCTATTCTACGATCCTATATGAAAACATGAAACCTGAGACATTTAGATCTGGTAGAGAGCATGAAACCTTTGGCAAACGAAGTCAGGATGCAGTGGTAAACATATTTTCACATTATTCAATACTGTGATCAGCATCCCATTCCACAGTTAAGAGTAAGTAGAGTAATATATATCGACTACACTTGTGCTAATTAAAAAGACTATGAGGTTCTTCTTGCTTTCATTTTGATACCAGTGAAACGATATATGGCGCATGGAAAGTGTAGTGATGACAAATGAACATTGTCAGGCAAACTAAATTTCCATAAAAAAATCTTCCGTGAGATTTATCTTGCATGGATGAGTGAGCATCAAACGAATGATGAAATATACAATTTGATAAGTTATAAAACGACAAAGTATTTTCTTTTCCACCTCTTTTTCCTTCTACAAATATCATATAATAAGAAAAAATGTCAATTATGAAGTGTTCCAAAGACACTATCTCTCTAATCAATAAGTTGCACGGATTTCTTGATAGTATAAGCTCCAAACAATGTATTTTACTGTGAACCAAAAAAATTTTTTTAAATAACCATTTTATTGAATATATATGTTTAACATGAATCACTCACTTTTTTCCGACAAGTTTAATTCCAAGAACTTTCCCTTGACGTTTGCATAACTTGACGTAGAATATTTCTTTTTATCGAAAAGCATATGGTATATATTGAACAAAGGAAAATATACAATACTAAGTTACATAATGTACATTCTAAGTTAATATGGTAAGGAGAACAGAGGAAGCTATGGGAATTTTCATATGAATAAATGTTTTGCAATCTCTGAACAAAAAATAATATACCAATGATCATTGACTAACAAGGGAAATGAAGTGAAAATATGAAGTGAAACAGTACTAGTATTATTACTAATGTTATTATTATTTATACACAGAACACATGAAACTTGAAAAACAGTTGTTGTATTATATGAATATATATATGCAGTTTGCGACAATTAGTACGAAACTCTGGACAAAGGGTTTAGTTGGCACATGCCAACCAATACGTTTTCGAGTTCTGTGGACCGCTAATACTCCCTATAAGAGTAATAATAGTAGAATGAAATTCAGTAATACAGTATGTTTGTGTATTAGGCATGCGCCAAATTTACTGTGCACGAGAAAGTAATGACAATCGTTCAGTAGGTGGAGTAGCTTATGAAGTCATGATCAAAATGATTAAATTATATGAGCTATTAAGTGAACATTGTCGATGAGCAAACACTTCTGACTTTAAAATAGAACACTGATAGAAAGTATATAAACAAAATAATAACAATAATAATGCAAAAATTATCACCTTGGTGATATTGAGGTTGTGATTGATGTTGTGCATTTAAGGAAACTGGTTCACGGAAAACAGTGAATTGAACTACTGATGATGGGGTGGTCAAAATGCTCTGTGCTTCAGCATGCGTAACATGAGTCAATAAGTTGCCGTTCACCTATTATTAAGTGGTATAAAAGAATAATCATTTTGAAAAAAAAACAAATTCACACTGTAGAGAGAACTGTAATATGATGAATCTAATTATGATTGAATGAGTGGGTATTAGAAGACAAGATTAAGTATATTATCACTTATACATGAATCTTTGCAGTATTTTATTTAGACACAATTATCCTTATAATCGACCAAACCGACTAAATTGACGATTCATAATGAAGTCTGTAACAGACTGAAGAGTTCAACTTGTTCAGGAAAGTTCAAACTGAGGTATCTAGTCTATGGAGACTAGTGGTTTTAACACTAGTTGGCTAATATGAATATAGAGTAAACTACAACCACCATTAGGAATTCAAAAGCCCTTTTACCAGAAATGTCAGGTCTAATGTTTAGCAGTTTAGAAAAAAGATCTACTAAAACTTTTAAGGCGTTTATTTAGGTACGATAACTCTAGACTGACAGTGTGGTAAGAGCTTAAAGAGCTCATTATTAAAATCTGTCACATTTTTACCAACAGTAAATAGATGCACATAATGAACATATGTATGTAGTTTTCCTCGACCGATCATTAAATATTTGTGAAGACTTTAAGAAGATACACAGTTTCTGATATGGCCTAGACAAACAGCCCTGGACCTTAAATATTGATATTATGTCTTACTCTGAAAACTCAAAAAATACATCCCCAACAACTTTGGGAATAGCAACTGGAAAGGAATGTCCAGGACAGAGTTGGGCAGAGAATGATAATTGGCGGCCTATACTCCTCAATGAGGGGTAACAGGCGTACATAGGTAAGTCAGTCATCTTGAGTGCTGTAGGAGGTATGAGGGTGGTTATCACTTCCCGAGTGCCCACACCATGGAAGGGTTCTTCTAGAGGTATCCGAAAATGAAATTGAGTTAGAGGTGGTCTTAGTGACCTAAGGACGTGACCACAGTGTCCAGCGGACAACTGCTTCAGGCCGGTCACACACGACCTTTTTGTGAGTAGCTCTGTACTTGAGAACTTACCGACGGAGACGGAAATCCGTGGGATAAGGCGAGGTGTGCATTTTTAGGGTCAGCCCTTTCCAACCCCACCCCTCCTTTTGGAAAGACAGCATTGCTGTTATGCTGGTTGTCTGGAGGAAATACCTTACTGCAGTTACACATCTGTACAGTCAGCAGTACTTCACCCTCGGACCTTGGGTTTGTTGCTTTTAGTCTTACCGCTCTTGAACCGACCTGTCTGGCATGGTAGGACCATGAGGAACGATTATTCCAGCCAGTATAGCTCGATTAGTTCATCACGATAGGCAAGCCCGACCACCACGTCAAGGCAGCAGCAACGGTCGGGAAGTAAGTACGTTGGGTACCATTAATATCGCAAAAATCAGCATCTATGAAAGTTGTATTGGATTCTTGATTATCATTTAATGCATCCGATATTTTCCCCCCATTTTTATAAGAGATTTGAACAGGAACATATGAATCAGCAAAATAATCGGGATCTGGCAGAACAATTAGATAACCTTGATCATTAGATTCATTAGAAAAACTTTTTGCATCATGACTGGTTTGATTTGGCACCACTGTATTCACTATACTGTTTGGTTTGTTCCCCGTTTCTTCGTGGGCGGGTACTGCAGCAATTTTATGGGCGCTTAATAAGATATTGTCTTTCTGTGAACTGGACGATTCATTGTTCGCACGTTTTGTTTCAGGGATAGTAGGACTTGAGCCACGTATAGGGCATGCCTCTGAAACAGACAATACTGGACTACTGGGCTGATCATATGTGACTGCTAGTGTTTCGCTTAAATTACTGCTTTTCACGGATTCATAGAGGCTTTCACTGGCATATTCATTTGTTCTGCAATCGATTTCCAGCTCTGTACGCAATTTTGAAATTAATGCGTCAACTTCCGTTGCACCCCCAAAGCATGGGTGATTCAGCAGCTTTGCATGTAGCTTGTCAATTCCAATTGACTCTTCCTAAAGCGCTGCTCTTGTCGCTGGATTAGCAACTGAAATTGATCGGAAGTTAGAGCCATTTTTTTTACCCCGTCGCCAGATGTTATATCTAGAGCCTTGATTCTTAATATGCCGCGAACTACTTGACTACTTGAACGATAGAACCCGCAACGTCGCAAAAAGAGAGAAGACAAAGACTGGTAAGCAGGAAGTTTATTGCCCCGAACAATGTCAAAATATAGCACAGAAATCTCGTGTATTTATAGTTATTGGCTGAAAATAAATTATCATTTAGGTCAACCAATAAGCACATAGGTATCAAACTAATCCATCCAATGGAGAAGCTCCACGCTGGCATTTCTAGAACATTCCCCTAGCCGTGATTGGATGGAATGTCTGCGGCTCTTCCTGGGCTTCTTAGGGCTTCCGAGAGTCTACCGACGGGCCGTCCTTACATGGGTAATCACGAAAAGCGGGGTTAGAGATAATAATAAACTGTAAACCATCTTATAAAAACATGATATATTCATTTGTCCACATATTTCCTACATGAAACATGAAATTCAGTGAAAAATGTATTAACTTAGGTGGACTTCTGATAGAAATTCTAAGAAAATTCTCCAACAGTATGTAACAAAAGATTAGTCAGAGAAAACTTGAGTGATTACTTTTATTCTATAAATACTAATCTAAGAAAAAAGGGAAACATCCCATTCTGTATTTACCTCTAACAACTGATCTCCTGGTCTAAGACGTCCATCTGTTGCAACAGGTCCATCTAAATATATTTCTTGAATTAGTATGCATGCCTAAGAAAAAAAGATGGTCAGCAATCGAGTTTATATCTGCACATGAGTACTGGGGAAACTCATATAAACTTAAATATTAAAGACCCATTTTATAATTAGGTTGAAAACTTGCAATCTATAGAGTCACATATAGCGTTCGTCAGTTTATGTCACTTTTATCATAAAGCCAGATATTTATTAGGTTATCAATTGCTGGACACATTCCCTACTAGTTCGTTGTGTATTATTTTATGGATGTGATACATGGCCTCTGAAATTAGAGGAATTGTGTAGTTCGATAAGACTTTTCATAGGTACCTTTAAATGGAGTCATTACCTGAATAGTGTTGATTAAACTTATAGTGCCAAATAAAAATGATAAATTAGTTGATGAGAATGTAAATCTTATTTAAATGATTTAGTTGTATATTTTATGCGTACCAGACCACTATCTGTCCTGATGTACTATCCAAGCTACAATATCAGTAGGTTGGAAGGATGCTAGGAGTCGGCAAATCAAGACATAACTTTACTCAAAGCAAGTTTTTTTTTATTTAGGGTCAGCAAAAAAGTCACAGTCAACAGTTAGATATTTTGGATGGTACGGTTTAAAATCGGTTACACTGTTGATGATAAATTCCTTTTTTACATACAGTTACAATTTGATCTTAGCTGTGTTTCAAACTTTTCATTCATGCCGTTTAAGATACATTAACCGCATTTAGTTTTCTGCTACTATTATTATTATTATTCTAAATCCATTCCTTATCTTTTTATTGGTTTCCCTCTCTCTATACTAACATAATGTGTGACGATTCGAACAGATATATATTTATTTTAATTTTCGTAGTATTCGGTATTTTTATCGTGCTTGATGTATGGGGTAAAACGACATCAAATATAAGTATCCATCCACTGATATTTTCAAATGATGATTGTACTAAATTTAAAATTGATCAAAATCAAAATCTGTGAATTATCATGATTTTTCAGTTCGACATCCCGTAAATTCAAGGATTAGTATTTCAGAGGATTTCCAAAGCATCTGAACAAATCTATCACAAAAAAGAGGACACAATAGACATCTATACAATATAAAGACAAAAATAGTTATCACTTACAAGAGGTGTATCAATACCTCCAACAAATGTGAAACCTAAATCCATACAGTCAGTTGGACGATAAATTAAAATTGAGACAGGAACACCTTCATATACAGTTGGTGAATCAGCTGAAAGTTAGAGTAATGTATTTATGTGATTAAAACTAATAACAAAAAGAATTTTAGAAAATGACCGCAAATTATTTCATACATCAAGAATAAGAGAAATTATTATGTTTATTATAAAATAAAATATCAACTTCAAGAGCTTAGTCACGCTGAGAACATAGACAATATCAGTAAAAATTCCTATTCAGTGTTTAAAGTCAGATAACAAAGACAAAAAAAACAACTAAGAGACTAAATGTGAACCGGTGTTATTTCTATAGTTTTTAAGTTCTCTAGTATTTCCAGTAAAAATTAAGCCTTATTGTCAGGCAATGACTTTGTTGTGGTATCAGTGACCTATAACATCGGTGCTCTTCAGTCGTTCGTGCCCAATAACGTGAACATTATTTTATGCGTAATGAAACCCTGTTATTCTGGTAAATGAACCAGTAATTTATATCAGTTTATTCTAAAATTTGAACCGACAATCTAGTTTCGTGAGCAGTCATTATTAGAGTTTGATTTCCCTCTTGCTAATCATGATAACAATAGTAGGAATGATGACAATTACTTTAGGCAGTGAAAATTTTTAATACTCTTTTCAAAACTGACAATTTTAAGCAAACGTACAGGATTCTTCAACAGATGGTAGACTTGGATCGTAGTTTGTTTTATTTAATTTATCCATTTCTATTCGTGTAACTGATGGATAAATATGAGAAAATTCTTTTATATATTGATTTGGATAAACAAAACTAGAATTGGATTCATTATTTGAATTATGGTAGTATATATTTTGTTGTTCCTGTGTTAAAAGATTATTTTTCATAGCATTTTGTGAGTCGATTATCCTGGGACATCTTGTTGAATCAGATACTATTGGTTGTAACATATTTGAATCATATGACTCAGTTCCTATAAAAGTGGATAAGAAGACATTTTTGAATTGATTATGTTGTTGTACTGTACGAGAGGTTGATTTTATTGCGCTACATGAATGTACACCGATACACCATTCACGTAAATGTTCTTCAAGATTTGACCGATAAACTATACTATCACAGGTAGGTGAATTAGGACAAGCAACTAATAGCTTGTCTAATAATCTACAAGAAAGAAAAATACAATGTAATTATCAATTTAGAATAAATTTGTACAGAGATAACCTTAGTTATTATCAAGAATGCGTTGATCCTATGACTAAAATATAACAAAAATGCATTTTGTAACATCTTATGACCTTCATTAAACTCACTACATGATAAACGGTTTGTCATAGCTACGACGGCCTGTCTGAACATCTGGGTTACCTGTTCCTGCCATCTAGATATTTCAACAATTTATCTAATTTTGTTTGTTTTAATACATCATTATGGCTATTAATCACATAACCCATTCAGGTGCGTTTCTGAAAGGTGTACAAATTTTCGTTGTACAAGTTACAAAGGCCCAATTAGAGACATCGTGGTTGCTGGCAGTAAGCAGCGAAAAAAATGTCTATTATTTAGATTTCCATTGACTGGACTACTAACTTCTAAATGGCGATCACTCAACATTTGTCGTCAGGATCGACCGAGAATTAAGAAACGGAAACTTGTTGAAATACATTGTGGTGAGAATTCTATATTGTACTAGAAATATAATATTGAATAAAGCTAATGATAATAATAATTTGTCTAGAGAGTAAAAAATAATGACAGAAACAGCAAAAACACATGTATATATACGTATACATCACAATAGTTGGATCATAGAATACTGCTTTAGATTAGGCGACCTTACCTAATATGTAGGTGATCTAGGTCCACGTTTTTTAAGCACATTGTCGCAAATAGGGAACAAAAATATATATACACCATACAAAGTAGTGATCATAAAATTCGTATATGAGGGCTGAGGTACTTTCCCGGTGCCCATACCAAGGCAGACAGTTTTCTCAGGGGGCTACAGCCCGAGTCTTTCACCTACAGGTCTGATCCATACGACAGTGGAGCAACATAAGGAGATGCAGTCCCATGGTAGCCGAAGATCAATAATAGGTCCATACACCATTTGTTTCTTTGGAATTCTGGATCCCATGTGCACCGATGGTTTGGAGTCAGGGTTTTTCAGCTCCCCTGGGTGGACCCTCAGTATCCACCAACCCAGTCAAAAAGCTGGACATTCACTTTTCGTTCTCCCAGTTTCGTGAACAACGCACTTGCCGCGAGAATGCAGTGAATAAGACTTCCCTAACATTGGCTAATTACACGTAGAGATGTGAGAACATTTAGAGGAAGAGCGGATTCTCGCCACCCTTAGCCGTAGCAGGGTATTTGGGAGCATGTCTATCGGAAACATTAGTAAAAGTCATTATTAAGGAAAATTGAATTCCAGAAGACGACTGTAATATACCACATGTCTTTTAATTCTTTTAAATTCTGTAAGTAAATATTACTTGCTCCTCAACTTCATTTTTTTAAAAATGAACGTCTAATAGCATATGTATATGACATGGAAAATAACTTGACGTCCTACTCAAAATTAACTAAATGACTATCCTAATATTCATTTGTTTTCTAAATGTTACTTAGTTAACGTACAACGATTATTGTTAACAGGCAATACATTTGTCACAAGATTACATCAAAATAATTTCAATATACTCCGTATAACATTAAGATTTTATTTTCTGATTCTAAATAATAATCTTTGAAGAAAACATACTGATAATCATTGATTTCAATGTATCAAGTAATAATGAAATAACAATATGAATGATTCAAATAGCTACTAACCGTTTCACAATATTAGAAGCTTGTTGACACTGTAAATAATTGATAATTTGCTTGTCTACAGGACAAAGTGCTTGGACAGCTAGATGATTTTTTAAGCAAGGAGAACAAAATGTATGACCACACTTGGTATCTAATGGATCAACTAAGGGTTGTCGACATAGCTGAAATGTACAGAGATGTAAAGAAATTATTTGGGTTAGTATTTCTGTTGAATGTTAAATATCAAGTAGTTTGGAACAATATATCTATAAATTAATTAAAGATGCGCTATTTACAGACAGAAAGAATTTTACATGGAAACGAAATAAAATGCAAAGATCTCTTTTTAAGACTAAAAGACCACATAAAGTATAACACACCAGATTGTAAATTGGGGTTATTTAAGTCCAGCCAACCGAATAGGCGGAAATGAGACACCTAGATTTAAATCCGTGCTTCAGTAGTCGGGAGGTGAGTAAACGTAGATCACTGAGATATAACTGTTGGATAGGGTTAATACTCTTATCACTGGATATTATGAGCAATGACCAAGATAATCTATAACAGAAGGACTTTTAAATAGTGGTAAGAACGAAGGGCATATAACGTGAAACTTCAGGGAACAACCATTCAAAGCTATACATAATAAATTACTAAATAGGAGGTCTTACATGTTACTTTTGAATAGCTGTATTATTACTACTCATTTATTTATTTAAACATAAATATTGGTACAAAGAAGCACCAGATACATATGCGCCTCACACATCCCATTCGATTTGTGTCAGGGCTGTGATACTGCCAAGGTGCCCAAACTGAAGCAGGTGGTTTTCTTAGGGGCCCACACTCGGAGCCTTTGACCGAAAGATCTGATCCACAAGGCAATGGAGCATCGTGAAGAGATGCAGTCCCATGGTAGCCGGTGAACAACGATTGATTCGTACGCCATTTGTTCCATCAGGATACTGGAGTCCATGTGCACCATTGGTTTGAAGTCAGGGTTTTCCAACTCCCCTGGGTGGACTCGCCTTGTCCACCAACCCGGTTAAAGCGCCGGAGTAGCTGACCATTCCCAAAACGGGCCTAAATAACTTTCAGAAACTATTTATTACTAGCTATTCTATTCTATAGCAGACCAGTTCATCATCTTGATGTCCTTCTAGGAGGTACAAATGAAGAACTGATAAACCGTCGTAAAACCAAAGCTGTTCAGATGTCCAAAATGAAAATAGAATATAACACTTCTAACACCATAACTCACAAAAAACCAGATGTACGTAACCTATGAGTTGAAAGATTTTCATGGGGCTCAGACTAAGAACATTATGGATCTTTGCATTCTATTTGGTTAGGAACAAATTCTGTTTAGTAATACCCTACGACTAGTATAGTTAGTAAAAAAAGAGACTGGGTAAATAAAGAAGTATAAATTTCACAATACAAATTACCCGGATCGAGATTTTCAACTTAAAATTACGAGATTTAAATACTATTTAACTACAGTGCCATCAAATACTTGAAATGACTTTATAAGTGACAGAATAGGCTGTTTCTAGATTTCATCTAAACCCCTAATTAAAGGATGATAGAGAGTGATACCAATTAGTTATTCGAACCTAGATGAGCTGGGTAAGATTTAAATCTGTGGCCCATTAGTTGAAATTCATGTGTCGAAACTATTGAAACTGTGACAACTATGAAATACAATGACGACAGTAAAAGAGAAATGAGGTCTGTAGATTTGTTAATACCTCATAAAATTTGCTGAATAGTAACACTACATATGATGAATTTAAAACTCACGGTACAACAGAGATCCGCATCCACTGTTTGTGTGTAATTATAAATGTGAGGAGACATGGAATCATGTGTTCGACCGCATGTACGACACAAATACTTTTTCACAATCACATTTTTGGGATTACTAGATGACACCTCATTTTGGTTATGAACAGAAGTACTAGTAGGGTAGTTTGGATGAGTATCTTCTTTAGTAATCAACTTAGGTGACATAGATGATATTGCTGAAGGTTGAACAAAATGAGATTTACTGCATGGACCGATTTTTGGATGAAGTTCCGTGAAAGCTGATCCAGGAGAAGGAAAAGACGAAGATGTAGATGTATTTGGAGTAAATTGCAAAGGGTAATTGGAGATACCAGATGTAATGTTTTCTGAATAGGAATAAGGCAAACTTGGTGGCTCAAAAGATGGAGGGTTAGAGAATGGATTTAAGATAGAGGCATCGCAAGCTGCTTTAGCAAATTTAGGGGTTGAAGATTCACATGCATTAGTGGTGGCTGTGTTTTGTAACGTCGAGCTGATGGTACTCTCCTGAAAAACGAGCAAACATAAAGAAACCCAATAACAACATACAATAGGGTGTGAGACTCAGAAAAACAGGTGTTATCCAACTGTATTACCTAGGTTCTGGCATTACATTACTATGCATGACAATAGATATATATATTTATATGGCCCACGAACGCTACAGAACAGTTCTAGACCCATAATTTATTCATTTACTGCTAAAACGCAAGAGCAAAGTCAAGAAACAAAAATGATTACATGAAAATGTGATTTATCGCCACGTCACATTTCAGTCTTATATATTCGTTTCTTCCCTATTTTACAGTTCAGTGTGCTACACAATCATCTAAATGTCTCTGACTACAAACTACTATAACTTATTTACACATATTTATTAAAAACTGACCATTTTAAAAATTCCTTTTCTAAAAGTTGATGTTAAATTGTCGTAAGTTGGGAGTTGAGTTGCAATAATATGTTCAGGAGGTTCCGGTAATAATGGGGAGCCTTTGGTAACAGGAAGGTCAAGACCGGGACTACTGGCAACTGTCGTATTTGTTTCACTATCTCCACCCACACTGCCTGTGCTGTCATCGCAACAACTTCCAGTCTGCATAACAAAAGTGGAGGTTCGATGAAGTTGACCTGGGTCGATGGACAAATATTAAGCACCAAAACCAGACCATAAGACAATCATAAGAAAAATGAATAGTGAAACAACTTTTTAGGATTGTGCATTATCTTTCCTCGAAAAAATTAGATGTCATAAATCTTCTCCAAACAGACCTGAAATTAAAAAAAATATAGAAAGCATCAATACAAAGTGCATGCGTGTGTAAGTTAAAAGACATTTAAGTTTAACCAAAAGTTATTGCTCCACATGTATACGACATACGGCGTTTTAACCAATGTAGCATTTATAAAATGGGATGATTAAAAGTTGAAATCATTTAAACTCATTGAAGCAGTATTTCCTTGAATATTTAACTTTGTCTGATCAAACAGTACTTGAAAACAAGAATTAAGTTGCTTTCCACTGAATTTGAAAAACAAACCAGAAAATATAGAAGATATGCGTTTCACCGAAGTTTGGAAATCAATCACTGATACCGACAGAATTAGAAGAGTTTCGTAACCATATGTACTGTTGACTCAGAGAACTAATAATCAGAACCACTAGCATACTATTTTCAGTTAAATAACTAGCACGATGCACTGGTACGACCGAGAATTGAGAAAGTCCGCTCTCCCTCTCGAAATGCTCTCACATGGCCACGCGCATATAGCCACTGCCAGGGAAATCCTACTCACTGCCTTCTCGTGGCATTACTGTTGTTTACGAAAGTGAGAGGACGAAAAGCGAATGTCCGGTGCTTCAACCGGGTTGGTGAACAAGGAGAGTCCACCCACGGGAGTTGGAAAACCCTGATTTCAAACCAATGGGGCACATGGACTCCAGTATCCTGAGGAAATAAATGGCTTATGAACCAATCGTTGGTCACCGGCTACCATAGGACTGCATTTCCTCACGATGCTCCACTGCCTTGTGGATCAGTCCTTAAGGTCAAAGGCTCCGAGTGTGGGCCCCTAAGAAAACCACCTGCTTCAGTTTGGGCACCTTGGCAGTATCACAGCCCTCACAAAAATTAAATAAGATTTGTGTGGCGCGTTTATACCTGGTGCCCCCTTGTACCAATATTTATGTGTTTAAGTGAATAAATAATTTAAATTACAACTAGTTACAGAGCAAAAGAGGGTCGGTGGTAGTAAAAACAAGTAAGGTATGAGCGGGAAAAACAGATAAAAAAACAAAATTTCCATAGATTAAGTGTAGATAAACGAATTTACTTGCCGCTTTAACTTCGAAAACACTAACTAAGGAGCAAATATCGCTACTCGGAAGATACTGCCAATCAGAAACTTCCCCGATTTATACTTTACGACTGACTTTAAGACTGCTCAACCGGTAATTTTATTATGAAAAGACTGCCAATCTTTGCCTTGTTATATGTAAGACACGTCGCGGAAACTTCTAAGATAGCAGCGATCGAGTCCAAGTAATATTTTGGTGTTAACCATCAGTATCTAAATATTACAATCACTAGGGAGAACCAATGAAACTACATCTCAAGATACTTATTAATCGACCGGCAGCTAGACATTTGCAGTGCTACATATGGCGCAAACTGTCTATTTCAGGACTACATTAACAACTGGCTAGTCAGGACTGATGTTTTCAAATTAGGTTTTAATAGTGATTTCCTCAGTGGTAGTAGTAATTGTCTTCAATGCTGCTTGTAGACTTAACAATTCAGATAATCTGATTTTTCGTAGTTCATTTTACTCGTGAAAACATACAGACTTAGAATCCTATCTCCTAGCGATCCAAAAAGCTGCAGACAACTGTTCTACATAATATCAAAAATCCGATCATCCTGTATGTCATTCTAAAACATTTCCACATAATGATTTAGAAATCAACGTAGCATCCATTTCTTCATCACTGTTTCCTCCATTTCTGTTTTTCCATAACTAATGTTTGTGTCTGTCAGTCAGTCAGCTACAAAGTAGGACCAGACAAACATATGCATCGGTCCAAGTTTCCATACCTCATTAGCACAACAAGATGAACACCGAATTCATAGAAGTAGTTAATTTCGTGGTGGCAATATATAAAAAAGGTTGTATACAAGGATATAGTACAGAAAGACAGATATGAAGCAATTTTAATCTCAAGGTTTAAGGGAAGATAAAGAGTTTATACATCTACGCCACTGTGATCGATTCTGAGCCATGTAACACAAAGTCTCCAACCATTGGTTACGATAGTCACGCGTACCCCAACCAAGTAGTCTGCATCTGCCAACATGGCTCAGACTAGAAGTTAGTGACTTCAAGCATTGATGCCGTGTTTTGGTTTGGCCGCCCCTAACTCTTTTCCAACCATCCCCTACACTAGTCAGCATAGCGCGTCGTGGTAATCTGAGTTCAGGCATACGTAACACGTGGCCTAACCATCTCAGTGGATGAAGATTCATCACCTCATCAACTGATTTAGCATCATTCCCTAATACCCTGTGTCTAACCTCACTATTACTTACCCGATGATCCCAGTAGATGCGAGCAATATTTCTAAGACATCTGTGATCAAATAGTAGTAACTTACGAGTATCTTCTACTCTTAATTACCATATTTCACAGCCGTAAAGTAGAACAGAACGAACTGCTGCGCAGTATACTTGTCTCTTAATTGATAGACGGATATCTCGTCTTCGCCATAGGTGACGCAAGTTGGCAAAAGTCAAACGAGCTTTTTGAATCCATGCTGAGATTTCTTCAGACACTAACCCATTAGGTTTGATCAGACTTTCAAGATAAATGAAGCTATCAACGCGTCCGAGTACCTCACTTCCTATCCTTAGTTCAGGTATTGACGCAGGCCAGTTCTGGAGCAACAAATTGCATTTGGAGGGGGGAAAGCATCCCGAACATCCTTGCAGTGTTACTCAGTGCTACCAAAAGACTGCATTTTATCAGCGTCTTCACCGAACAGGACTAGGTTATATGCGCATTCTAAGTGGATAAGTGGACCTACTGGTAGATCAATTCCCGAAAATTCAGTCAACGAGAGTTATTCCCGGCAGTAGGTTTATGATGAAGTCAAACAAAAATGTAGATAGTGGAAAGCCTTGTCAGACACTACTTGAGGTTGACAAATTACTCCAAACATTTCTACTGCATAAAAGAATATTGTCGAGAATACTTTCAAATAAAATCAAGCGGCGGCCGAAGTTTTTGGCAGCCAATATATTCTAGGTTTACAAAAAAGTGGAATATTTCATTAAGTACTTATTTTATGTTACAAAATGGTTAGAAATCTAGTAATATATCGGTATGAAGGCAGTACATTCTGTGACGCATGGTTCAAACACAAGCTGAGTAATATATATTATGGAAAACGTGTTAATGAACACAAATGTGTTGACACAACGTTAATAATGATTGTTTTACAAGTCTAATTGGCTACAATCACTGAAATCACTATGTATGCGAATGTGGCGAAGTCCCAAAATCGTAACTTGACACTCCCTATTGTTTTGATTAATCTGATTACACAGACAGAATAGGTATTCGGCATTTTAGTAGATTCTCAGTAACAACAAAAATAAACATCAAATTCTGTCCACATCATATTCCTTGAAAAAGATGTGTAAGTACGTTTTCTAAAATTTCGTCTGCCAACATATCATATTGTGACTTTGAGACAAAACTTAGAAGATAAAAACTTACGAAATAAGTAACTTCCAGGAACTATGAATACTATCGTTGTAGCTCTCAGGTACACTGAAAACTAAACAGTGTAGCAAGGTATATCAAAACCACCGCCAAATCAATTCTAAATTTCAACAACAATTAGTCATAGAGTTGTAGGCGGAAAAGAGAAACTTATGCTTAAAAAGATTCCGTACCTATTAGCAGTGGAGCACTGATATCTCTATGTAGGAGCCTATGCATATTTATTGATTGAAAAAGAAATATTAGTAAATTATAATGAAATACTGTCCGGAGTCATTAAGATTCATTACAGTTTCCTATTGAGGGACTTCTAGAAAGTCGCTGCAACCGCCTCATCTGCCAAGTAATTTGAGTATTCGATTACTCGCCAGAGGTGAAAAGTGAACATACAGTCCATTCTGTTGTGTTGTATCTCTAGTGTCAATGTGCAACCTCCAAATCTTGTGTTGGAACTGAGTACAAGTAAATAATTAAACGAATGTTCACGAGCGTTTGGACTGCTCTACGTCATCAAACTAAAGCCTCTGATTAAAGTCAAAGTGAGTTTAGCCGCTTTTCACAAGGTTTGAATTTGAACTCCCAAACTGATTTCGTGGCCCGCTTTTTGATACTTCGCAGTATATTCTTATCTTTTGGAGTGATGGAGTGACCACAGTATTTCCATACTCCTAATTTGCCGAATACAACTGCTGAAGATCAAGTGGGAATTTCTACTGTTGAACTGGCCAGAAAATGCGCCTCGACGTTATCAGCGTAAGGTTTGATTGAAGGGAGATTAGTATTTTGAAAACAGAAAGTCTGCATCTTGTATTATTTTTCTTCTGGTATGCTTCTGTTTGTTCTATCTTTGTCTGAAGAAATCGGATGATAAGTCGGACATTGAATTTACTGACGTCATGTTCCTTGAGTAGATTACTTGATGAGTAAACCCGCGTATCACTGGAATTCTGTTTGATCATGAATTCCTAACGTGTTTGCTTCGTTTTCCACGCTTTTATGACTTATATGAATGTAGTTTCTTAGTTTTTATGCACAATAATTGATTCACCTTTTTCTCTGCTGAAAAGTATATGAAAAATACCCAGGACATTTTTTCTCAGGGTTTGTTATTGATGAAATCTTGTCGGTGGAAATTTAGAACTTAGCCAGTAAAAAGTGAAGCTCTGGAATTTAAAGAGTTCGTAGTGGTAGGTAATTTTTGGCGGTGAAAAAGTGTCTAAAATCAATAGTTCTATAAGTCTTTTACTTTAGTTCCAACCTCATCAGTATTGCTAGACCCACCCCTATCAGAACGCGTTCAAGCAATCATCCGAAGTATACGGTAATTGCCTACATCGTGCTGAGCATCTATCTCATCGACCAGTGTGCTCAGAATACGTACTTTTCAGCGCATCGATACTCTCAAAAATATACCTTCAAACCCCATTATTACTTTCTTTTAGTTTAACTAAGCTTGAAATCCACGATTAGAATGAATTTACGAATAACAGAGTTATCCATCACTGAATATCCGTGACATCTTTAAACTCACAGGAAAAGTCGTATCCTAAACATTCAACAATGATGTCAACCTTCTTAGTTTTTACAAACACCATTATTTGAAGTGGCCCACTGAAATATGATGACCATATCACGAAACATTTCGATATGTGATGGTTTTCTCGGTCGATACATAAAGCCAAGACGTGAAGATTTCAATACAAGAAGGGTTGCCAGTCCGGCAACACTTATTTTCTTGCCAAGTAATTTGGTATGGTAACTAACAAAGGCCAATATAATAACGGTACATTTAAACATGAAATGATAACTGTAGAGGTTGGAGAAACATCAAACTTATTGGGCATGTTGTTATGTGACCCTAGTGTAACGTGCAAACCATGTCCTTCCTTCAATGCGTAGCATAAGCTCATAATAGACTTATTTTTATTAGGCTTGTTATTTCTTGCCTTTAGGTCCCCAGTGTTGCAAAACACGACAATGGGCCGAAGGATTTCTGTGACAAATTACTAAGTATTTACGTAATACATATGCATAGCCATTAATCTCAATTTATATTTCGGTATGTTCTGCCACCTGAAATGTCTTCTCGTCTGGTCTCCAAGTTTTGTCAACTCCGTGATCCCGATGTGCTGAAATTCTTCAATTCATCCGACTTGTTGCAACTTCGACATTCCGTCCTTTCCGCGCTCTACTCACAACATTGCGGGTAGCGTTCACTACACCCGCTCCTCATCAGATGTCGAGATTACAGACGCACTGACCTTCGTAGCCCCGTCGGCTCACCGTGCCATTTGAATCTGAAGTTCCAGTACCTGGGACGTTCGACGTCTCTTTTCCATTGACAGCGACCACCACACCCAAAAGCCTTACCAAGCTTCCCCCTTCGGCGTCTTTTATCTGTACCAATCCACTCAAACCAGCACCTCCTCGGCACACAATGGCGTCTGCACAATTGTCACTCTGTGTCTGTCCCGGCAGCGACACCAAGCGTACGGAACGAAATCCCGATCAGCGCAAACAATTCATTGTTTTGTAAAATATTACAGGGATTCTGTAGTATGTGAAAACATTGTATTAAATACATCAATAACACATCTCAGAATGGTCTCTTACATTCCTATTGCTACGCAGACTGAACCTTTTTCTTCTCCTCATGTTTCTTTTCTGTCATTAAGAACGCTACTTCGAACCACTATATGTACTATTTATATATGTTCGTATAAACAACACGCACTAAAGTATTCGTGTTAATTGTAAACGTTCTGAAAATGAGCCACATCGTTACAGATGGGGCTGAAATTATTTAACTGAATAATACCTAGTTTCACGAATACCATTAGTTTTATTTTGTATTGGATTTGTTTGAGTTTGTGCGTTCATAATTCTAACGTTCGACATTATCTGTTTCAGACTGCCTAATTTTGATACTTCCGAAATTAAGCCTCAAAAACCTAAAAATCGAAGGCTTGTTGTGAAAATTTTTAGAGTTATTCTAAGAACGATATATCTGAGTTGATTGCTCCTAATTTGACAACGGATGTTTGATACCTGGATTGAAACTTAGTTTTCATTCATACGTGAGTTGACAGTTGATACTATATTAAACGTCTTTTTAGACCCGAACACACATAGCAATAACAATTATGGTGGGTTTATTGGAAAACGTCAAAGGCGACTAAAATAATTACTAAATTTAATTTACATAGAGAAAATCGGATAAGTTACATTTGGAGGGCAGGTTAACATGAGGTTTATTGAGGTATATGCAACTTACAAATAATAAACTTGACCAAAATAATTTTTTAAGTTGGGACAACTTGCGGAACTTCGGTTAAGAATACGACGAGTTCTAATACAGACTTTTCATCAGAATTTGCTGCAGTTGGCTTAGTGACATAAGCACGTTTTTACATACTTACATACGCCTGTTACTCCCAATGGAGCATAGGCCGCCGACCAGCAATCTCCAACCCATTCTCTCCTAGGCCTTCCTTTCTAGTTCTATCCAGTTTTTTTCATTCTTCTCATGTCTATCTCCATTTCAAGGCGTAATGTGTTCTTCGGTCTTCCTCTTCTTCTTTGGACTTCAGGACTTGAGGTAAGGTCTTGTCTTGTGACGCGGTTGGGTGAATAAATCAGGATGAAGTGCTGGAAGTGGATAGGACACACTTTGAGAAAATCACCCAACTGCGTCACAAGACAAGACAGTTCTACTGTGTGAGGCGGAAACGTAGAGAAATACGAAAGCTATCATCCGGAAGATACAAGTGTTTAATAACAGTTGTCCACGCAAGATACTTCGGATCTGTTGGTCAACAACAACCTACTGTGGTAGAGAAAAGATCAGTGTGTCCTATCCACTTCCAGCACTTCATCCTGATTTATTCCTCCACTGAAATCTGGTCTTTTCTCTACCACAGTAGGTTGTTGTTGATAATGTCCGACCAACAGATCCGAAGTATCTTGCGTAGACAACTGTTATTAAACACTTGTATCTTCCGGATGATAGCTTTCGTATTTCTCTACGTTTCCGCCCCACACAGAAAACTGTCTTGACATTTGTACTGAAAATTCTGATATGAAAATGATGAATGTTAACTGGAAAGAACTGGAAAGGATTGTCCAGGACAGAGTTGGATGGAGAATGCTGTTGGGCGGCCTATGCTCTTCCACGAGGGGTAAAAGGTGTAAGGTAGAAGGAACTATCTTCCATTCCGCGGAAAATTGCATGTAATTTTTTGGCATAGGATAATGAGATTCGTATTTTTCATATGAGCTGAATGATATTTGATTCATATACGAGTTTAAGGCCGAAAAGTCTACTTTATTTCCAATTTAATACTGCGCGCACGTCTATAATAATCCAGCCGCATATTTAATTTTCGTGGCATTTACTGAAATAAAATAAAATATCGAGTGAACATAGGGTGAGGTTCGTAAATAAGGGAGAAATATGAATTGATATAATGCAGAAGAAATATGAAATGGTAGCAACAGTTTAGGCCGTAAATGGCTCAAATATTGTGGGAATGGATATAAGGTTAGGACGTTCCTTGGATTTAGAGCTCAAATGCTGGTATTATTGGATAATAGAAGACTATAGAAGCACAATGTCTTGAAGTAACAATTCTATTCATCATCGTTCTCAGTGTTTGCACATTGAAAGCCCATTTTTCGAAGACGAATAAGATTTCGATTCTAGATGTGTTTCGAAGATGATTTCCTATTAATTGTCGATCAGTATATGGTTACAATTTTTATTTGTCTGTTTTGCTCAAAAAGCCACTGAGTTATGTTATTTTTTATAACCTTAAAATATTAGTGGATCGGGAATTGGGATATTACAACCGTATAACAAAGTGTCGATTGGTGTCGTCAGAACTACTTCGAAATTCCCTCTTGAATCAAACTTGAGAACTCCAACTACGCAGTAACTAATAATGGTATTTTTCAACATATTAGACGCACCATTTTTTATGGGTATGATTAACAATTTACATGTGTTTAGAAATAAGATACGAAACAAGTAGTGTTATTCAATAAATTGTAAGTGCGAAAATATCTGACAGAACAACCACGCAGATATATCAGTTGGTCAGTAGATGGGTATAGATGTTTGTACTATACTAAAATTTCACGGTTGCTAATACCTATTTAAATATGACATGCAGTACAAACTTTCTATTTTCGTCATAAGAGCATTGCAATAAATGATATTTAACTGAATTTCTTCCTTCTTTATTTTGAGACATCAAAATATGTTCTTCAGAAGTGCTGAACATCGTATTGTTGATTGTCACGTAGGACGAGTCAGAATAAACAATGACGTGACTTTCACGTACGATCCTATAGATTAAGTAATCATATCATGACAAATCTGCCATTTTGAGATTAGTTCTATTGTTAATTATTATTATTATTCACAAACATCTTATGGGTACATAAGTGCTGTGAAAAAACCATTTCGGGTTTCTTCAAAAATGCAATAATACACAATTTTCAATGATGTTAGCATTACATTTGCCATGTTTGAGAAAGGAAGGAAAACTAAAATATTAATAATAAAATAGTAATAATAGATCAGGTTCTGCGTAACTGGCAAGAATTTTGAGTAGATTTTGAAGGAGGAAAGGAAGAAAATAAGGATATAGAAATAAAGGAGACGCGGAATATGTAAATATCTTGACGCAGAACAAGAATAAACAACTATGTATGTAACATAGATAAATGTAGTAATATCAAATTAGACCATAGTTCAAAAGTTCTACTGAAGTTCATATTGCAACCAGTAACATTCACCTATTCGAACCACAGCCAGGTTGCAACTCGTTTACCTAGCGAATGAAATAGCTATTTCAATCTCCTGCACTGCTTGCACATCCAGAAATTCCATAATTATTGTTGTCACTTCTATGGCTAGGTGTCCTTCGGAGAATCTTAGCTTTCATCATGGGGCGTTGTAACTCTCCTATTTGAAGACCTTTCAACTCATAGAACTGAGTTAAATATATCATGCAATTTCCTCCAACTAAAGTTTTTTGATGTGAACAGCGAAACAAGAAGCCTTGAAAAACTACGGAAGCTACTTTTGAGGACATTATTTCATTGAATTCAAAGCTTGTAAAACGATAACATTTACTTTTGTCCCTAGTCTATTCTACAGATCATAAGCTTTCGTTTGATGTATAATTCACTGCCATAGCCTTTTCTGCTGTAAAGCTGTTCTAATTTAGACGTAACCTTTTGTACTCTATTTTCTAGTCTAATCCCCCAGTTTCGGACATAAATGCATTTTCCTAATTATAGTACGTTGTGGTCAGGTTGATCATCTATTTATTTATGTATCTTTTTACACTAATCTGAATTCGGGTACCAGATCGGGTTTTGGAATAAAGTGAGTAGTATTCCAGTCGTCTTGTCTTCTCTTTCACGCGTGCTTGCCAGCCAATCAGGTGATAGAATGGTTTTCTTCCCTCTACCCCACTTCTAACTCACGCATACTAGCCTCAAGGTTAGGCCAGTCAGCCTATCGCGTCAAGGTCTTATTCTAAATAATACAAGTTATCCTCTGCACGAAAGTGGGTAGACAGAGCAGGGATTTAACATTTTTAAGCCAAGTTATGTTTCACGTCACAGTATTGTTAAGTAGTTGATATAAAGTCGCAAGAATGAAAAAATCTATAATAAAATAGTATAGACCGTCTCATCCTTAATAAGAAGATCAACAGGAGGAATAGCTAAAGGAACGAAGGTTAGAACTTCGTAATTAAGTTAAAGCAAGGAATCTACATTACAAGAGTGTGTACATGTAGGGATTTTTATACAGATTCCCATAAAACTACCAAGAACGATCCTTCAAACGTGATGACTATATTAAAATTGATATAATAGGTTTATAACACCTTTTGATTTATTATAAAAGCATCTGTCCATCAGCAAATACACTGCGCTATACTTTGAGGCAAGCTTGATTCTATTAAGTCTCTGACTTCGTTGAAAAACGTGGAGATACTTACGGATATTCGTCAAGGTTAGAACGAATATTTTGACAATAATTGCACGCCGAGTATAGAGAATTCATTATATGTGAAAAAATTATATTTGAAATAGTCCCAGCGATTGAAATATAAATAATTCCAACGTTTCGTCCAGCTAACTTGTCTGGACTTCTTCAGGGAAATAATCAAAATCAAAATCATCAAAGAAATATATAGTGTTTTTTTAACAATCATATCAAAATCTCTACTACTTTTAATGCAATCATATTTGAATGTCAAATTTTTTGTAAACAGGATAATATGAGTCATTTGAATGAGAATCAAGTGAAAAGTTCAACGATGTGAATTAAAGGAGATTCATAAATTATGTGTATGTATGTATGTGTAAGATGAGTTATTAATGAATGATGTTCAGTGTTAATATGTTTCTATGTGAAGTAAAAGTAAGAATAAAAGTGTAAAATGAAGGTTGAAAAGTTTTTTCTGAATCATCGAAATTGCAATTAAATGAGAATCATCAAGTACATAATTGTAATGCTAAACATAACTCATATTGATTTCAGTCATAATAACGATTCATGTGAAGTGGACAGGTTGAATAAAAGAAAAGATCAAATTACTTGTTGATGAATATTTGCCAAATGGTAGTTGCTGAATACCATCCTTTCTGTTTAGGCTGTTGTACGAATCGTTTAAACAAATTGCATCTGAAATTGCAACCCTAGTTTCCGAGGTTTCATATATGGCCATTATAATTATACATTCACTTCGAGGATTTTCTGTCGTACACCGAGGACAATACATATAAACAATGGGTGAAGGAGAGGAAGTTGCCAAGCATTGGGAGCCAAGAATGTTAAAACCTAGTATCAAGCCAGTATTTATTATTCGGGTTCATCAGTGCATTCAGTATGTTTACAAAATTTAGTCAATTTTATTTGGATAGGAACGTAAAAGTCATCTAATTGAAAACCCTACTTTCCTTTTCAATCATGAGTGGAATCATTTGAAGTAATCAAATGTTCTGGATTTGAATAAATGATGACAGAAAATGTAATTTGGTAGAAGAAAAGTATATTGACGACCTTGAAATACACCTAGCTAACGAAAAAACGGTATTCAGTTATGAAATATTTTGTGACAAAAAGGAAATATAATTATAATTAATGGTGCTGTTCAACATGAGTCACAAAACGTGAGGTATGGACTTAATGGGTTTTCAAAACTATCTGATGTAAACAAGCTAGTAAAAATGGGTTTCGCTCAGAAATCTTATTGATTCATAGACATGCCTAACATCTGTACCCTTTACAACATTCGAGATGAAAAAAATATAGCAGTCTCATATGATAAAAATCAGGCATCAATCTAAAAGACAGCATTTCTTCTATTATTAGAGTTACATTTTACCATTAATTATTGAATACCGCTGCCGCATTATAGAAAGTATGCGTTACTTTAGGCTTTTTCCCTATCATTTAGTATGCAAATACTTTTTCTCATTTTTATAACTAAAATAGAGGACAGTGTTAGTTATCAACATTAGGATGGCGAAGATTCACTGTTTAGGACATGATGTTGCTCTGATCGAGTGGTTAAACTGTTGTTGTCGGTTAAATGGTATTCAAAATTATTTGTTCGCATCTAAAGAAGACTTTATCTGAGGCTAGCTTCCACCATCTCGCTGAATATTCAATTACAGAATTAATTCAAATGAAAATACTTTCATTGCATCCTCATTGTTTATTACCGAATCGTTGTTGATTCACTTGTGGGCGTTGCTCTCTGTTGTTAGCTACATTCATTACTATGTACAAAGTAGTTCTATATAACCATGAAGTTACATTTTTATCTTTTTGTTGTTCTTATACCTAGATTTTCGTTTTGTGTGATTGTCGATAACGTCGACCACCGTCAAGCGTTTGTGGGTTTTTGTTCATTCCCTCAACGGTTGTAGATCTATTAACCAAAGACTAAACTTCACATGTCTAGCAGAGTGTCTTTAAAACAAAAGCTGATTGGTCAGTTAGAAGATGCTGATTCAATTTTAAGGTATACTGTACTTAAAATATCTCGAGGTTCTTTTTTTTATTAGGGACATACTTTCTGCAGCCTCTAAAAAGAAGTCTGTTACACTGCTTCCTCTCATAGAATTACTGTTGGAAAAAGATCAACAGCTTAAGGAAACTTACAAAGAAAGTATTTCAATAAATTTTGCAGTATGCGATACTAATTCTACCGTTTAGTTGAAGTTTACAATGAAATACAGAAAAAGATCGATCTCCTTAAAGCTGATTGTTCGAAATCTGACAAGCAAATACAGTCATGTCAGCTTCATTTAAAAAAGACTGAGTTTATTTTGGTTAGTTTTCTATTTTTTACTTATGCATTTTTAGTAGAGCACTGCTCTATATTATTCCAGACAGAAGTTGGACTCAATGACTACTGCTGTTAAAAATCCGATTGATATGGAAGAGCTCGTTAGATTTTCTCACAGGATAAGCGCTACTCACGGCGTAATAGCTCCAGACAACTGGACACAAGGAGACCCTAGAAGACCATACCCAAATAAAGAAGAAATCCGGCGTGGATACTTGGGTCATATTGATGATGCTGGCAATTTTCGCCAGTCTCTTTGGGATGCTTTGTCGGAAACTGCTGCTGCCGCAGCTTCCATCGTTGTTTCGTCTACCCCATCAGCCTCCAGTAATTCTTGTCCAAATAGTTTAAGCAACGCGAATATAGGAACGTCTCAGACTCCTGTATATCACAGTAACCAAACGCAACCCACAAGTTTATCTCTGGGTAATTTCCACCTACTGCTATTATTTTTTGAACTTCAGACCAATTTTCGTCACATTACGGTGTTGTATCATCCCCTGAGATTATCAACGTCATTTAAAATTAAGCTAAGTGTGACAGTTTGAGCTTCCTATACGTCAATAGTTGACAAACCATTATAGTGATCATGACAAAGTTCAGTTTGCATTAGAAATTAAAATTTAATAGTTAGGAATAAACAGTCTGATCTTATTAAAAGTGCTCAAAGGTAAACACAAAAATATATAGCGTAGTGAGGTATCATCTTGTTTAAATATAAATGTGCATAAGCCATTGTGAGCGATCCCGTGTTCCATATATATAGGAATTAAACAGTTTTGGTTTTCTTAAGGTGTCTTTCACTGTGATAATGTGAATTCTGGCAGATTTTCATAATAAACATTTGTTTCAGATATTATGTTATGATTGACTAACTGAAGCTCATATGAAAGTGGAGTAGTAAAAATTAACAGCAATAAACAAGCTATATTTTCACGTCCTTTAAATCAGCAGTTATTTCAACCCTATGCGTAAAATGAAATATGTACCGATACCACCGAATGTTTTTAACCAAAAACGTTTAGAAATAGAAAGATCATCTGCAACCTAAGATGGAATTGTTCGATTCGTCAACAAAATCCTGCTGCCAAACTTCTATTTAAGGCTCACTAAGTAAAATTATATAACTGTATCAAAATTTACTTTGTGGTGTTGTCTTAAAGTATCATGACCGTTTTGCTCTCGTTTATTACCTAGTTATGTAGAAAACTGTAAATTCTGGGAAGAGGTTTTACAGTAGGTGTTTTGCGCTTATCAAAATAGGGTAGTAGCCATCCCATGTCTTCAGTTGTTTTTCCAAAGACAAGCGCCAGAAAGGTAGATGGGTTTCTTATTCTATGTATTTTCAAGTCTAGTATCTACTAGGGAAGCTAGTTTTCATTCACCTAGAACTGTATTTATTTTAAGTCTATGTGAGGTTCCAAGTAGGATTAGTTGGGAAACAAGCTATGTCAGAAACAAAATCATTATGTAACGTATTATTTTGTGGCAGACCAGTTTATTTTTGGTTACAGCCAACATAAGACCAGTCAAAAATGTACAGTGACCCAAGTTTCCACACTTTGTAACGAACTCGATTATCCGTTAATCATCGTAGTAGTATTGATATCAGTGGTGGTGAAAACTAGTCATTAAAGAAAGTTGGGGAAAAACACTTGCAGTAATACTTTCAATATTTTGAATAAAATCAGGCATGTATAAATCTGGATTACTGTGATTAATGTTGATACACCGTAACAACGGTCGCCAGTTAGAGTTCACGCTTATCCTAAGGACCCCAACCTTATAATTTGTATCTCTTATTATAACCTACTTGAAGAAGCAATAACTTCATAGTCTGATGTCATGTTTTGGTTTGACAGCGCCTAACTTCTTTCAGCCTATTCCTGTGCTGGCCAGCGTAGTTCACTGTGGCAGACGATAGATGAAGTTAAAGCGCGATAATAAGAAGCCGATTCTTTTCATATTAAGCACATGCGTAAACTATGAGTTTCGGTAAATAGATAGTGTGTTACTGTTCGATCTAGATCCGATAGTCGTAAAGTAAATTTTGTCGATTGTATTTCAATTGTTGCAAGGAACTGCTCCATTTTAGTATTTTTTTCACAGATTTTTCCATATACTAATTAGTGCATGTATTGTTTTAGTTCAGATGAATGAAACTCAAAATTGTAGAGATATTTTGGCACAGCCGTGTAGAATAATTATGAATTATTATTATTGCCTTTATTTTAACGTACACTTACTTTTGTTTATGATTGTTTGAGGTGCAAATTATTTTGTATATCTTATGAAATTCTAGTCACTTGCTCTCCGAATATGATTCTACCGGGAGTTAACATGGTTTCCTCACCAATGTCCTTTTCACAGTCTGGCGGCTCGTCTACGTGGACTGGACCAAATATGAACCTCATCACAGGAAATCCTACCAGTTCGGAATTAGCTGGTTCTCAAACTTCAGCTTCTCGACCGCCTTCGACTTCACTAGCCGCTATGCTCACTGGTACAAATATAATGGATCAGCATTCTCGTAACACCACATTGCCTCCACCCCCTCTTAAGCAAGGAAGCGGCCAAATGCAAGCAAGTCAGGTCACGTCTTTCCGGCCAAGTGGTGTTCTGCCTCGACCACCTAATTCTGGAAATCGACAAGCATTTCCTTCATCTCCGAATTCCTCTGGATCGCAACATATGCAGTATCCACACAGTGATACACATCCCAGTTTTATGCCGAGCAGCAAAACATCTCGACCACATTCCAAACGTGCACATCGGAAACATACAGACACAGAATGTACAGAGATGTCATCTAATTCTTCTAGTGATTCATCCAGTGGTGAGGAATGACTGTACTTTTGTTACCTTTTCAATAAAATTTGAACAAACCAATTACCTATTTCTTCTCATAGAGTTTACCTAGATATTTGAAAGAACGATTGTCATTCCATGTCATTTCCACAGTTATTGAACAAGGAAGATGAGGAAAATCGTCCTCAAACTTGCCACATAGAGCGAAACAGAGTAATTCTTCCTAGTATAAGACTCCTAAGTAAATCATGCTCTCGAAAATATGAGATTGATCCAAAGATTTCTTGGTTCTACAGGAAGCATGTCAATGACACCAGATTATAATTCAACTATTTGTGTTTTTAACCGGTAATTTAGGTACCATAAACGGCATAAGGTGTAGGACTATATAATTAGAAAACATTTATATAGTTATGGTTTCTTGTACTCCTTGAGGTGGTTTTAGTTCATAACAAACTATTTACAGTTAATTTTATGTGAAGGAAATTGTAGTTAGAATGGACCTGCGAAAAAAGGATTGACTTCACAAAACTAAGCAACATCAGCAAAATAATTACTACATACTAACCTCACAGTAACAATATGGGTAGTATTTTGTGTTATTTATTTCATTTACATGGCTGCAATCAGTCTAGGACTAAATTTATTGGAGTAAGATTGACGAATCTAAATTATTCGTTCTTGTTAACCAAAAATAATTTTCATTTCAAGTTTAATTGTCCAGCAGTTATCCTAAAATATCTCTACATTGCTTGTGAGGCAGTTACAATAAAAATCGCTCAATTCTCAAAGTCTTCCAAAAAATAGTGAAAATGCTGAACGCAAAATCACTAAATATCCAAACTGATGGGTGAATCAACATGCCATCGGCCAAATAAGCTATTGATTGTTGATTCCGGAGGTCTCTGTAATACCGTATAATATTGATTCATTTTTATTGTTTCTTTGCAAATCGGTCATAAAGTCCCTTGTCGACATTTAAAAACAGTATATTTCGATTGGTTGTTTAAATAAGCCTGCATATATAGCAAAGTGTGTATCAAGACATTTATTAAGTGCTGTTAATTGATGAGTAGATGCACTCAGACCAAACTAGTGTTGCATGAAATGTTAGTTGATTCTAAGGCCACCGTTACCTTATCCATCAAACTGGAATTTAGAATAACAGTACAGACAACATAGGAATGGGTCAACCGAGCTTTGTGAACTAATTAGTTGTAAAAACCTACTGAACCGTGTTAACGGACCGATCAAGCGTGTGGACTAAAAATAACATTCGCACTTATAAGTGATAGAAAGTCCTATCCTACCAGAAAATAGTTCACCCACGGAAAGAAAAGTTGAAGTAAGATGAACTCGAATTAGCGCGCCTTTTAAAATAAAGCTCGATTATTTTAAGAATCCAGCTATGAAACGTAAACAAGAACTAGTCCTTTAAATCGGTTCAACTCTAAACGCAAATTTGTCTGACTTTAATCGAGTAGAATAGTTGTCAGGTGTTAATTTTTAATTAATTATGATTAGCGAACCTTAACAGTAGTTATGATTTATTCCTAACTAGGAATGACGTTTATTTAGGTTTGTTAGATGGTTAAGTGGTTTTGTGACTTGGCCTTGAGTACGTCGAAGATGGTTGTTTTTAGTTGACATGAAGGTCATCGTTTGCATTCATTTTCGTAACTATGCCACGGAAATCCAACTAAGAATTTTGTGGCAAATGATGATACGCGATATCATTACAATTATATTCGAGGTTGGAGCTAACAAACTAGCTCCTGTCAAAGACAGATAGCGATTAGTCTAAAGAATAATCCTCTAATAACTTATTACTACCAAAGCCAACTTATACCGAAGAAGTGATTTACAGCTGTAATATTTATTTTATATAGAATTACGTTGCTACAATGCATAACAACAAAATGAACATATTATTGAAAATCACCCGGAATTTCAGTGCATCAAAACATTGTGCGAAAGGTAAACAAATAAAAAAATTAAAATAAGATGAAAATTCTGATAGAAGAAAATGGGAATTTTACAATCACAGCTCACAGAAGAAAACTTTGATGAAAATAAATTGGATGTAATCATTGTTAAAGCATATAGAAATACGGTTTATGATCTGATAAATTTGAATCATTGTCAGATTTAGGAGGATTGGATAGTGAAGTAGAACCTGTTATAATTTTGCTAACAGGATACTTCTCATCTTCCGTATTACATGTGTTCACCTGCTTTCTGGAATTATTCGTTGAACTGACCATATCAGGTGTATAATAATCCATAGGCAGTTTAATTGGTGATCGAGGAGATGATTCTTCTTCTAGAAAGGCCAGTAACAATTCTGTGAAAGTCTAAGTTGATAGAAAAAAAATTATTGTCTTTATAGAACCTTCGACAAGTAAAACTATTATTGATATTATACAATAAGGGAAAATTAGGATGCTACATTGATAAAATGTCAATAATTTTATTTAGTTTCCAGAGTGTAGAAGAACCATGCTGAGTAGACAAGGTAGGTGAAAAATTGTGTTAAGCTGTTATCCCTTAAGAGTGATCAAATCATCCTCATATGACCGAAGAAATACCTTCTACTGGGACAAACTATACTTATGCAGGTAAAGATTGAGTAAGCAATCCGAATTTGAAGAAACGCGAAGATATGTTGAAACTATTAACTCATTAATAGGGATATTTTCAGGAGTATTCATGAAACTGGGTTTTCGACAGGTCGTTCTACGCGATTCCATTTATTATGAGACCGTAGCTGCTACCTTGACGTGGTGGTCAGGTTTGTTTATCGTGATGACCCAACCGAGCTATATTAGCCGGAACATATATTCCTGTAAGTTTTACCATGCTAGACAGCTCGATTGAAGAACGGTAAGACCAGAAGCAGCAACTCAAGGTCTGAGGGCGAAGTCGTACTGCTGACTGTAGAGAGGTGTGACAGCAGTAAGGTGTTTCCCTCGGACACCCAGTATCTGCAGCGATGCAACCGTCTCACAAGGAAGGAACGGGTTAGAAAAGGTCAACCCTAAAAATGTCACACCTTACCTAAAAAAATTCCGTCTCCGGTGGTAAGGCCCTTTGAAGAACGGAGCTAACATGTCGAAAATTCCCCACAAAAAGGCGGTGCGCGACCGGCCTCAAGCAGTTGTTCCTTGGGCTCGCGTTCACACTCCCAGATTGTTAAGACCAACATTAATCCAACTTCCTTTTCAGGTCCCTCAAGAAATACCCTTCCACGGTGTGGGCAGCCGGAAAGTGATATCAGCCCTCATACCCGTAACAACACACGAGACCAAGTTGGTCACTTTCAAATCCTTCCTATACCTCCTAATAACTCTCGTATCTTCACGACTAACCCTTCTCACGTCATTTTATCACCTCGCACCGCTAGAGCAAACAATTCGAGTACGCGGAACGTTATTCCTGGTCTCCTGAAGCCACGCTCTAAACTACGTGTAGGAACTTTTAACGTCCGAACATTGTGCCGAATAGGACAACAGGCTTCCTTAGCTCGGACTTTAGAATCTTGCACCATTGATGTGTGCTGCGTCTCCGAAACGCTAATACCGGATCCGAGTAGCGTCATTCATTTGACCTCACCATATCAAAATAGAGAACCAACTCGATACACGCTCCGTGTATCTGGAAGCCCTGATGCTGCTTTCCGTGAACTTGCTGACGTAGGTATAGCATTGAGTCCTAGGGCAGAACTAGCTCTTTTGGGTTGGATCTCAGTAGACAGTCGTTTGTGCGCTATCCGACTAAACGGAACAGTAAGGACTCGGAAAAATAGGGAAACTCGTCGTTGCCTCTTCATCGTCCCTTCCTACTCTCCCACTGACTGCAGCTCAGATGATGTAAAAAATGGGTTTTACGGAAAGCTTTCTGACCCTCTCCGAAAAGCTAGGCGCTCTGATGTAGCGATAGTGGTTGGTGATTTTATCGCTATCAGCCACCGATGGAGGGGGTCGACAGAAGACTGTCACTCAATCTGGAGCACATGCTTAGATTTCGATCATGCTCTAGTGCGAGCACGTATCTGTCTGAGTCTTACTGGACGCAGGAAAGACACTGAAAAGAAGCCCCTTAGGGTTCTACTTAATGATAAGCAAGCTAAGAATATATTTCAGGATTAACTAGAAAAACAGTTAGACAACCATGTAAGTTGTGCCCACCCCGAGGCAGCTTGGAAATGATATCCGAAAAGCTATGGAAATAGCAGTGATATCTGCTAGTACGGTAAACCATAAAGTTAGGGAGAAACACTGGATCTCAGCAGCATCTACCGCACGGATAGGTGCTCAGAAACGCATCCTATTTGGCTCAGAACATAACGAAGAGCGGAGTCAGCTTAAGCGCAGGCTAATAAGAAGCCTACGCAATGATTGCGAACAGTGGTGGGTAGTGAAAGCAAGAGAGACGGAAAGGGCAGTGGTAATAGGCAACAGCAGACGACTGATCAGACTGGTTGAAGAAACTGGCATAAGGAACCCAACTGTCAGCGAAACTATCTCGAAAAAGATGGAAATATTCTTCATTCTCAATCCAGGAGATTGGATCGATGGGAAGAACACTAGGGATCAAATCAACTGCTTTTCAGCCACACTTCAGTTTCCCACGATCCCCACTCTACCTGAATGGCAAGTTAATGTAAGTCCATCAACTCTTTACGAGGTTGAAAAAGATATAGGAAATCTGAAGCGAGGGAGAGCATTTGACTCCGTCGATCGTGAGGTTCTGTGGCAGTGTTTGTCACTGAAAGGAGTACCAAAAAAGTACATTACCCTTATAAAAGCACTCTACTCGAACATAACTGGTCGAGTGAGAGCTTATGGCAAACTGTCATCAGAATTGATTACCTCAAGTGGTGTTCGTCAGGGCTGTCCACTCTCTCCATTCTTGTTTAACTTTATCGTAGATGTGCTTTTAGAAATAACACTCCTCATCCAAATTTGGAGGGGTTGAACATCTACCAGGAAACTCACTTGTTGACTAAGAATACGCCGATGACATAGTTTTACTTGGTG